TGAAGGCAGAATTTGCAGAGATGTACCCATCTGGCTCAGAAAAGGTTCACTCTCAGTATTTTGACTGAACCTGCGGTTTCGCGTGCGGAGCAATATGTGTGATAGCCAGGCCAGCACCAAGCCGTTTGATTCCGAGAGCTTTGCAATGGAAGTTGCCTGACAGTGTGAGAGCCGCCCAGATCTATCGGTGCCCATACGGTGAGGCAGATGCCTGTACGGGCAATGTCGGCGTCAACCGCTTGTGGTAGAATTAGTATAGCGACTGCCACCAGGGCCATGTCGATGCAGAGACTGAGCCTCAGCACATCGACCTCCCGCTCGTATCATGCCTCGACGGACGCCGCGTCACCCAGCGTGTAGTCGGTGGTGAGTTCCGGCTTGAGCTGCTGGAGCTGGGAGTACAGCCTGAGCCCATAGTTGGTCACCGGGTCGAAGAGGTTGCTCTAGCCGGCGCCCGCCTGCATGCTGATAGTCTTGTATGTAACTACACTGGTTCTGCTGGCGCAGTGCTTGTTATAGTAGTTCATAGCCCGCATCATGTTATCGTACTGGACCGACCCATCAAAAGGTCCTTCAACCGCGGACGATCGAGATCGGCCATGGGGATCAACGTTGCGCTTATCGCGAGGGGCGCTCAAGGGAAGATTTGACGAGGCGTCTATCTGGATTGGCAATTTGCACAATGGCGCAATGAGATCAGACTCCAGAAGACTGATTGATGGAGACCAAGATCTGCGCCACTCCTCCTAGATAGTGATCTATCTCGCGGTAATCCAGCCAATCTAGATTGATACCAATCTATGCACGGGATTTGGCCATCAGTTCCCTTCGGTAGGACTTCGATCCTATAGCCTTCCTTTCCTAGGTCTTGCCATTGGACCTTAATGAAGTTTGGAACCTTGGGGGCGCCTGGACACACATCACAGAGATCAGCGTCAACGCGTGGCCCGTGATACTCGTGACTGCCTTGTCACTTGTAACATGCGGTGCAGCGAATGATTCCTGTCGGAAGTTCACAGATTCTTTGAAAGATAGCCATCAAGTAAAGTTCTGACATTGCTTTCCAACGCCTACCCCGATAGAAGGCAGTTAGGTTCCAGGGGCAGCTCACAGCAATAGTCCTCTATCTGGATCAATCTGTACCGCCGTTTTGATCCAAGCCCAGTCCCTCCTGTCTAGAAACTGGCAAGTTAGGCGGCCGTAGTGGGGAAGCGCGTATTGAAGAAATCAGCTCTTCAGTGGGAAGTAGTGATGGGCGAATTATTCCCAATGTGCGGTGGGAGATTTGTTCCAAAGTAGTGGTGGGGAATTTGATCCTGTTGGTTTCCCAGCCAGCCATCGATATCCAGCGCAGCCGTCTAAGCTCTGGGCGGTGCTTTTGGCTCCGGAATGTTTGGCCGCCTATGAAGGCTTCTCTCCTTTTGGAATAAGGGTTGCTGTTCATTTCATGGATGTGCTTTCGCCCTTCGCTATGTAGGGGACACGCCCTCCCCCATAGTCCTCCTCGGTCAAGTCCTCCTCGGTCATCTCTTCCTCGGTCAATTCCCCCCCGTCAACTCCCCGGAAACAAAACGCTAGGTTACAAGGCGGGTATTGGCCAATTGGCTCAGACTATTTCAGAGAGGCAGGCTTTTTGGACGCAGTCGTATCGTTGACCATGTGTTGTCCATGGCCAAGATCTCAAAACATTCAAACTAGAGATCTTCCTTTCCCTCAGTTAGATGATATCTCAAGCTTCAGTGAACTCGAATGATTCCCATCTAGCATGTTGATTTCCGCACTTCAATGAGGAGTATCGCTGTGCTTGAGGAACCAACTGCTCATGGGCTCGCATTTAGATGATAACCCAACACTCAGCCAAATAAGAAATTCTCAAAATGGATTGAAAGACGGGAGGAAGGTCAAGGAAGAGATAGTAATCGACAGAAATTTCAGCAGAAGACCAGACCAGGGAGTCGCATCGATCGACTCACCCTCGGATGGGGTCCGAGCGAGGTCATAAAGCTTTTTTTGTTCGTTTTCTGGATGTTGGCAGAGCCCCGAATCACCCCCATCCGCAAGGGAAGAGAAGGTGCCCGGATGGAACGCTTGACGGACAACCTCGCAGATCCAGAGATGATGGCCCAGCAGCAGCTCAACCATCACAGGTGACAGCCATTTTGGTGAAGTTGACAAGAGCCTCGGGAACGTTTGATCGGCTCAAGCCCCGAGACTCAAATGAAGACCAGACAGGTGTGCAAAGCGAGGGGAAGCTCCACCATGACCACGAAATCCCCGGATCAACAAAAGTCAAATGCTCATCCATCGAGCAGGCCTCTTTGAAACTGTGCTGGAAGTAAACAAGGAATTGCTGCCCTTGGTATGGTTGCTTCCGTTCAACCCCAATGGGGGATATTGTACCATACTCATATGTACCAGCAATGTCGGTATAGACCTGCCGAAAGAAGTTTGTCGCAATCTCTACATCCACAGCTTAGCCATGGAGACGACAATTGCCAGTCATGTGTGGACCGGGGCGATAAATCAGTAAGTCGACACGATCGAGGTGATTCAGTGGCTGACCAATACCAGCCTCAGAACCAGTTGGGGGGCAGCGAGTAGATCGGTTACCATGACACAGACGGTGTCAGTGGTTAATCTTCCGCACCCTCCAGTTGTGCGTTAATACCGGCATAGGAGAGGTCATAAACGAGAGTGGTGAAGACGACTCGGAGAAGACGAACCAGGGTCAAAATCCCCGGATCTGGCGAATCTCCAGACCTTTACAAAGATCTCTCAATTATTCCTGTCTGTGCTGGGGACAAACAGGAGAGCAGTTTCAGCTGCTATGCGCAGCGAGGTTGATCGCAAGAATGCCATAGCCAGTTCTTTGAGCATTGGATACAGAGACGGGAAAAGATGATGTATCTGGTGCGATGAAGTGGATAAATAGAAAAGTTTGCGTGACGGGATAACAAGAACTAGTGAGTCTTTGATGTACGTGTTCCCGAATACCGCTAGAACGGAAACGATCTGGGCGAGTACTTTGGTATGCCGTCTCGGTTGAGTATCATTGGCGGCAATTAAGGCGGCCAACCAAAGATTCAACCCTTTCAAAACGTTACTGTCTGATGGAGCCGCCCTCCAACTCCCCATATCAACTCTCTAGGAGAGGAGAAATTTCCCAGAATGTATATGGGATCCAGCCCGGAGCATCTAGCAGATTGCAGTCATACGCCAAAGCTCTCATGTGGCATTCGTGATGACGTCTGGCTGTGATATCTTGGGGTGCGTTGCCTGACGTATGAGGGTCATGCAGCCTTCAGCTTGTAGACATTCATAAGACCAAAGACTCAACAAGGAGCGGCTGCACAGTGTCAGAGAGTGATGGAGGAAATCATTAGCCCCGGGTTCCATCACAGCACAAGCTAAAATTTGTTGGCCTGGAGCACATGGACTGGTTTATAGGATCACATCCAGTCCCATCATTCATTGATGGAATTTCTTTCGGCTGATTTCTTCCCCCTTCGTGTTCACTTGCGATGGCAGTCGATGTGAACAACTCCGTCCCAGATCACCAGTTGCGAGCGAAATGGGTCGGCAGATCCAATGACCAATCTCGTCAGCTCCGGGACCGCAGATATTTGTGCCGGATATGCTAATAACAGCCCAAGAACAAGCTAGCGAGGGTCGCTCATTACACGGAATAGCTCGCTACCACCCCGATTATGACACAGTCTTCGTCAGAGCCTATTTTTCGCTCCATCTTCGACAGCTCTGCACGAGGAAATGGTATGAAAAACCGGGAGGTCAAGCTCAAATCCACCCAAGATAAGGATTTGCAAACCCCACGGTCTATGGCGAATGATAGGTTTGAAACAAGTACGGTCGGGTCTAAAGGTCTGACCAGGACGGGGGATTTTCGAAAACGCTTGGATTATCGCCTTCCGGGATCCTCCATCTTCTGCTGCGTCCGCTGATACCGTTTATTGACCCAATCAAAGACCCAGGTCTGTCCCGCTCCATGATTCGAACGCGCTCTTTCAAACTTTTTGACAAGTTGACCATAATTCGGCAGCTGATCAAATCGCAACTAATGTGCATGTTCCAAAAGGAATGAAATACTCTGTCGTATTTAGAAGGATTCCGGTTTCTTTTCGCCTGCTAACGACGCCATTGATGTAGTTGGCATATCCCATGATTGCATATTCGGTAGTATGGCAAATCCGAGCACGGTTGGAGGAGGCTGTGAATTGGGGGAGCCAATAGCTTGATGATGGTCATGGGAGAACCCAAGGCTATTCGCTGGATGCCTCGGAGCCGATGGTTTGATCTTGCGATGAAGGTCTTGATTATATCAAGCGTTCCACGGACCCTGGAATATCTGTTCTGGTTGATATTGCTAGCGAAGTTTTTCTGACAGCACGTACAAGGAGCTGGGTTTCGATACCCGTGGAGAGCAACGATGAACGGAATATCCACAGAATCTTTTTCACACACCAGTGACATGTCTCTATCAGCGCCATCCTCGAGGCAATCAAGACAACATGTCTCGCCGAGGTCTTAAAATAAAATCGCGTAAAGAATCTCGTTAGGCATTCCAGCGTCATGAGCTTGTTGAGGGGTCACCCAGGATCCCCTGAGTGTCTCGTGGGTCAAAGGGGTGGCCATCCCTCCCGTCCTCCACGTGATATGCGAGTGTCCTTCCTCGGAAACCGCAGCCTCATCAAAAAGAAAAGAGCTCGTAAGGTCCGTATTCATTGTGTTGAGATGTCGGGTCTGGCATCTTCCATTGTTGTTTAACTTTATACTCGAACTCTCTTCCGCTCGCAAGGCCAGATCTTTCTCGACGATTTCCTGCGCCTTCCCCATGCTTGATAGGCCGGATGTCTGATGAGATTCGAGGAGATGACTGAATTCCTAATCCAAAGATGCTAGTCAGAAACTTCACCAATAGCCAGTCAGTGGGTTTACTTACAGTAACCTTCTTCAGGGAGGAGATAGTGTCAATGTCGGCCAAGATGCGGAGCAAAATCTCGTTAAAGCGGTGGCACGGCCACAGCATGCTCTACACCGGGTCCTGGCCAGACCGAGATGATACTATCAGAGCAGTGCCCGTCTTGATCATTATGATCCCCCGTAAGACCTAGCCCCAATGTGTTGTTTTGTCTCTCTCCTCCATGTCACTGGTTCACCTCCCGCAGAATTGAGGGCCACGTCCTGGGCAAGAGGAGTTTAGTACTTTGACAGCACAGAAAAGAAGACCAAATAGATTCCTGTCTGTTCAGCGCCCCATCGGCAGACCATCGAAAATGGTTAGTCCCGCCAACGAGAATAGTAATAATGTCTTGCCGCCAGAAACCCAGATGTCGTCCCTCCACCTTCGAAGGAACTGAGTAGCGACCTTGGCTTGATATCGACGTCCTCGCCACACATAATAGTCCACCGGTACGTCAAGACTAGCGCCGTACTCAAGCAGAAGCTCGGCGATTTCTTGCGAGAACGGTTCCGCCTCAAGGCTTATGGTACCGCCATTCACGAGGGCAACCCGGTGAATGATTGCCGTCTTGCCAAGCAGTAACTTCCGAAAGTCTTTGGGATAGTGAGGTTCAGAGAAGTTAGTTTGCAACACCCTGAGTGGGCATCTCCAAGTTTGAAGATTTTATTGCAGGCTGTGAACAGCAATCCAGCTCAATCATCAGTGGGACGCCGCTCGTAGGTATCAGTTTCAGCAGCACGAGTCCCACACACCGCGGATTGTGCATGCGTCTCGCCTCGATGTTGGCTTTTTCTTTCTTTGAGCCAAACGGATGCCTTGCGCCAATAACATCCCGAAGGCAGCACGTGATCTTGAAGACAACAAGCGCCGCCAACCGCTTAGCGAGTTCCCCCCGGAGATGTAACAGAAGAGTAGCAGGATCGGGAGTTGTGGGTTGCGTTGGGATGGAAGGTGCCCTCGCTACGGCAACACGGTAATGTGATTCGACTGCCGGAAGGACGGGGTTCGTATACGCGAGTCCTCTTGGAGACCAAGATAGCTCCGGAAAGGGTAGATGTCGGAACCATAGTCTAAGAAGCCCGTGTCTTGTCGATGTCGTGTTTGGCTTTCGTCTTTCTCCCTTCCCAAAGGGCCTGAACCCACAACGGTGGCGCCAATAAAGGAGTAGCCTAGATGTTCGGAGGTCGTGTCTCCAAGGGCGATATAGTTCTCATGAAAGAAACGGAACTGCCGGAGGCGTGATCTGGGGCCTTAATAGGCAAAGGATGTCACGGGGGCCAACGCTGCCAGAGTTTCCACACCGGATGTGACTTGATCTTGACTTTCTCATCTTCTGCCCTAGTGAGTTTTCACGATCCTGGTCCGGCGGTCATTTTGAACAAGTTGAGAGCATGTCTCGTCTCAAGGCCACCAGTGTAAGAAATCTCCATAAAGGGTGATCAAGCCGGGGAAACCCACGCCCAGCCTCGGTAGCAAGGCCCAAGCAGAGGGGGAAAATTGAGAAGGGGGAAGCCAATATTCCGGTGTCATGTGAACTGCCAAAGAAAGAGGGATTAGCTTGGAGCCATGTGTGAAACTTCCAGGGGGGATACATACTCAGAGGCACGCCCTCAGCTTCTTCAATTGACATTCAAGACCTCGGAGACAAGATGTGGTCAATTGTTGGATGGCCACCAGACTTGTCCAGGATGTCGAGTATTGCGACCCTGGAGACCGGACACGAGGTAAATACTTCGGCCAAATGACCGGCTAAGCAGAGATAAGTTAGATCTCACAATCATGCAAGAAGGCGTGGTGTGGCGAAGACACGTACCATCCAAATGATCCTCACATTCTCCGTCGTCCAACCACATGTATACCCCCGCGGTTGTGTTCGACGGACGATTGATCACACCACCACCTGCCCTAATCTCATTGAGTGCTGCCGCGCATCCCCATTTGAATGGCGTTCAGACTATGCCGGTGTTAGATCAGGAAGATCAAAGACGGAAGGGGCAAGAGATCTCGACATATTGATATCTCAGGATACATACCTCAGCCACATAGGGAATATCCCTCCAGACCGCAGCCACCAATATTCCTGGACGTCCATTGCAAGGAGATGTCAAGCCCTGGACCCTTTCGTTCAACGGTTGGGAGAGATGTTATCAGTCTCCTGGCAATCAGATCACCAGATCCCCCCCACCATTCTTCATGACTCTTGCGCATGCGCTAGAGGGATGTTAGTCGAACCAAAACTAGATGGCAAGCTACACCAAAGAGAGACAGTTGGCTTCAAACCATCGGGTGGCTTACCAGTAAATTCCTCCTCTTCCCAGTAAACAATGGCTCTCGTCGTTTGAGACCAAAGGGGAAAGAAAACCCAAAGCAAGACCCAACCATGCACAGAAGCAGAAATATGGGTCGTCTTTGAGTTGAAAAACGATGCTAGCTAAGTCAGTATTAAAAGAGGCACAAGGGGGGAGCTGGCTTCCAACCAAGGTAGTAACTTACTCATGAAGTAGTCCCATGTACCCCAACATCGACACATGAGTTCTACCATTGAGGAGGAATGCCAACGCGGAGGGCTCAAGTAAAATGTGAGTTGAATGAACATGAAGTGAGAACACGGGGGAGTGTTGACTTGGAAGCACAAGGCAGTACACTTACCGATGAAGCTGTGAAGCTTGCCAGCCCACCGATCATCAGCCTCTCTGGGGCTTGAGGCTACAGGGCATGTCGATGCTTCAAGCAATGTTAGATTGATGAACATAAAGGAAAGCTAGCTTCGAGCCATGAGGTGGCGTACTTACTCCCTCTGCTGGCCAGGCCCAGCACCAATGAGGCTCTCCAAGGCGTGAGATGCCATAGAAGGAGGGACAACGGGACGATCAAGGGATCTAGATAATGTTAGTCAAATGAACATCAATTCAGATCACAAAGGAGGGTTAGCTTCAGAGAAAGAGACGATACACTTACCGATGAAGGTGAAGCCCCCCAGGCTCCACCATGATCAGATTCTCCAAGTGCCGTGATGGCAGGCAAGGGCCTCGCTAAGGCAGAGCAATGTAAGTCAAGTGAACATCAAGCAAAGAACATGAAGGAAAGCTGAGTTCGAACCAGGAGGAACTGTACTTATCCATGAACCTGCGAGGCTTGCCAGGCCCATGATCGATGGGCCTCCCCATGGCTCCAGGCCATGGGGGGGAGGGGGAATATAGGAGAAGGGGGAGGAGGTGGTGGTGGTGAGGATAGAGAGGAAAGAAATCGAGAGGGAAGTCGGAGGAAGATGGCCTTCTTATACCCAGATTTTGCACCGCAATCAGTCAAGTCACTCCTGCAAAATCTCGTACCTTCTGCAAAATCAAATCACTTCTGCAAAATCGAATCAATTTTTCAAAGCATCGCACAAGCACAATAGGACACGTCAGAGAAGGGGGCTGGCACCCGCCCGTCATGCTGGTAAACGTCAATGCCGCGTTGTGTAAACGCTCTGTTCTTTCTCTCAAAACAAGCTAAAGCACGATTCCGGAGATTATCTGTTGTTGTGCAACACACCATCCGCTGACGAATCAAGGGTGTGTGTGAGCTATACTACACTACGCCGGCGGCAGTCTCCCGCGGCCTGGACATGATATGCCAAATGCCGGTTACTGCTGCCTCTTCCCGCGAGCTGCCCAGGGTCGAGACCGCCATCGCCAGCACACCAATGTCTCGTATCAGGATGAGACCTCTCATTTCTTGAAGCCGTGCCGCTCCCTCCACCCGGGCCTGTGCTTCTCCTCCCACTCGGGCATGTGGTCCTCCTCCCACTTCCGCTCGGCCCTTCGCAGGATGCCCACAGCATCAGAGTGTTTCCTCTTGTCTGCGACGTCCCTCGCCGTCGCGCCCTCCGCATCCTTGATCGTTGGGTCCGCGTTCCAGTTCCGTAGCACCCTGAGGACGTCCCTCCTCTCCTGGTCGCCGTCCTCTGCCTTGCTGGCCGCGTAGTGCAGCGGCGTGCGGCCCTTGGCCGTCTGCACGTTGGGGTCTGCCCGACCCCTCTCCAGCAGCATCTCGACCGTGGACGCTGTGGCAGACCGCGCTGCGAGGTGCAGAGGGGTCCGTCCGCCGTTTGACCTTGCGTTTACGTCGGCACCCCGGTCGAGCAGCAGCATGGCGACAGCCAAGTTGTCGCGGTCGGCGGCTAGGTGCAGCGCGGTCAGGCCCTGCTCGTCGCAGGTGCGTGGGGAGGCGTGACGCAGAGCCTGCACCGTGGCGTCGAAATCTCCGTCCCAGGCGGCATCCAGCAGCCTGTCGTCCGCGTCATGGGCGGAATGGTTGGAGTGGATGCTGTCACGGTGCGACGAGGACTGCTGCGCGTGAGGGCTTTGAGACTGCTGCCGCGGGCTTTGTGACTGAGATGGTCGTCTGGGATCGGCAGATGATGAAACCTGGGCGGCAGCAGCAGCCGTGTCTGCCTTGGCCAAGGGGGACGAGACTGGTGGTTGGGTGGTGGGAGAGGGCGCGGCCACGGGTGCCTGCTGCGTCGGAGATGAAGTGGCGGCGGGTTTTTCATTTACTCCAGGCAGAGGAGACTGGGACGGATGGGAAGCTGCATTGGCTGACGTCTCAGTCCTACTGCCAGCTGGCACGGGCTGTGATGCTTGTGGTGATGCTGGCACGGGTTCGGATATCTTGGGCACGGCTGGTGCGTTGGTATCTACGCTTGGTCTCACCCCAGCGGCGGGCACTGCAGAAGGATGTGTCGTATTAACGGGCGTAGGAGCGGGTGAAGGAGCTGGTGCGGTCTGGGCAGCTGTTGTAGCAGCTGTCGTGGCAGCCGGAGCTGGGGTGGCTGCAGCGGGAGGCTGGGCAACGGGAGCTGCGTTGGCCTTGGCCGCAGGTTCTGGGCTGGGAGCAGCTGGCGTGGGAGCTGGGGGGGTATCGCGCTGGCCCCAGGAGGAGGCGGCTTCATCAGTGCTCGTCTGTGTTGAGAATGGTTAGTAGGAAGTCGAGGGAGATGACACAAGAGCGATTGTAAGTGTACGTACGAGTAGATGTTGACCATCAGAGTGCTGAGCGCTGACAACTCCTTTTGCACATCCTCTTGGGCCTTTTTCACCTGCTGCTCAAAGTCGTTCTTGTACCGATACGACCTCCAGAAGCTTTGCATCTGGTTGATTGCCGTCTGGCCCGAGGCCGACGTTCCCTCGCTGCTGATTTCCGACAGCAGCTTCGTCATCTTTTCCAAGGCCTTGTCCGTACTCTTGATGGACGCTTCGATCTGCCCCTTGAGCTTCTCCCCCTGTTCGCCCTCAACGAGGTCCGGCCGAGCCTTGAGCGTCAGCTGCACCTGGTTGATGGTGTCCCTCGCGGTGGCGGCCTGTGCAGACAGCTCCTGGATCTCCTCGGGCGTCTCGCTCATCTCGTTGAGCCAGTCGACCCACTCCTTGGCCGTCTCGGCGTGCTTGGAGACCTCCTTGAGACCAGCATAGGCAGCAATGGCAGCCGGCATCGAAGCGAACAAGTTGGAGCCTGACGACGTTCGTGGCTTCGCCGAGCTGTCGACGCTCTGCGAGTGCGGTCTCGGCGGGGCTTCGTGTGGCCTTTGGTCGTGCCTTGAGTCGTTTCTTTGGTCGTGCGGCCTATATTCGTAGGGTCTGTAGTCTGACGGCCGAGGCGATGCATGCGGCCTGCTAGAATGAGGAGGCGTATCGTCTCTGGGTATCCGTGGCGACCTCAGACTCTCCCTCCGCCCAGGAGACACCGGAGGTGAGTCCACAATGCTGTATCTTTCCCTATCTGACCGGTATTTCCCCTGTACTGACGGCCGGCGCTCATAGAGCCTGGGGTCGTCCCTGGCTTCGTATGCGTACCCTCCAGACGCCGATTCGCGTCTCGACTGGGAAGGCCGCCGCCTGTAATCGACACTGGACGGACGGCCACTCAGCGGCGGCCGTTCATCCCTCTCCGGGGGAGCCAGCGAGGCGCGGCGCCGTCCCCGATCGTCCTCCCACCTCTCGGCGCTCAGGTATTCATCTCGATCGCGGGGCGGCGGCCGCGAGTACCGCGGCTCTGGGCTCGACTCGGACGAGTCCCGGCGCCGGCTGTGACGCTCGTGCCGCGAGGGCCGTGACGAGGAGGGGTGGTAGGAAGGATCGGGGCTGCGGGGTCGTGCGTAGCTCGCCCGCCTCTTGGACGAGGATGTGTGCTCTTCTCTGCCGTCGCGGGAGGGCCGCCTGGCCGGGTCGTAGGATCGCGAGCGTCTATCGGACGAGCGGTGGCTGCCGCTGGAGCGGTTCGAGTGCGATGATGCGGTCGGGCTCTTGAGCTTGGCGGTGAGCAGCTTGATGGGCGATAGAGGCATCGTCGCTGTCTGTCTGGTGCCGCCTGGGCGATGGGCAGCCTGCGCTATAGCGTGCGCTAACAGACAGGCAGAGCCGGGTAGGTAGGTAGGGTATGTAGGTTAGTTGGTGGCGGATGAGGAGGCAATGGGAATGAGAAAAATTGTAGTTATGATGCCTCTCTTTCTCGGGTCCAGCACAGTCAGCCAATGTCAGCTCGACCCTGCTTATCCTGTTGTGCCAAAGCAAATATCGTCGCTCGTGCTGGTGGTGTGGCGTGGTGTCTATAGGTCGGTGCTAGCAGCAGCTATAGTGGAAATGGCAATACTAAAGCTGGCGACGGCGTCGGGGGAGATCGACGAGAGGGACGGGAGGGGTAATAGCGGTAGGAGAATCAGGGCATCTCGGCAGCAGGTGGCATTAAAGAGCTCTTGATGCTCTGCCGTGACTGCTGAGGTTTTTTGCCGCTGCTTGGCGCCAGTCTGCCTGCCCTGCATGCCATCCTTGCGTCTGCCTAGGCGCCCTGCCCTATCGCCTCACCCTGTCTGGAGAATGAGCGTCTGAAGCTGATTCTGAACTGCCTAGGCGTGGGGCAGCGATGACGCAGGCGCATGTGGACGACGATAACAGGCCAGTCCCATCATGTGCGCCGCCTCACCTGCCCCGGCCCGGCCCTCTGGAGACTTCTGGAGGCCCCTTCTGGCTTCCTTCTGGAGGGACTGTCGGTGTTCCCTATCTGGTGCTATGTACGGGCTCATCCTCTACGTGATCATGCCCTGGCACATGACGGAGGCGTGGGCGTCTCTCTCATGCTCTGCCGCCCTGATGACGCGGTGGGCAGGTTCCCAGCAACTGGGTCGATCAAAAAGAAAACAAATCGGAGAGAATTACTGTGTAAATCCGGAGTATACATGAATCCATTTTGACCTGCATAAAGAGGCGTCCAGGCGCTGAGCATGAGCGAATAGCTATTGGCGCCAGAGTTTCAACTGGCCAACGGGAGGGGCACCGCGGGGCAAAACATCTCGCATTTGACCATTGAGACAACGGAGGCGATTCGCCCTTGACGTCGACGTGCTTACCAGGAGCACCGACCCCCAATGTAGTTATGTCATTTTGCATCTACGGCGACAATCATTGCGAGCTACATTGCGTCGAGCAGTTGAGGAGATGCTTTTACCGAGGGTTGAGGATGGATTCAACCTGGGTCTAGGTTAGGGCCAAGGTAGCGGGCGATCGGTCCTAGCACGATGCCTAGTTGAGAATATGCGGTCAAGGCCAGGACATACGTCGGCCAGCATGGCTATGTTGTTGTGTTCCACTTCACTAGAGGAGCTAGACGATGGGCTCGAGGATGGCTTGGAGAGGCTGACCAGGGAATCCAGGTCAGAAGTCCTGGGATAGACTCATGCCGGTTCAGTCACTGCCGCACATGGATCCCAGGTGTTGTGACTGCCACTGGGTTTTGGTTGCCATGACTTTGCCATGGAATTCAATCTATCTCAATTGACTACATTGGTCTAAGCTTTGTTATAAAACTATAAATTTATTGCTACCCTTGAGCTGCTTCAATTCAATTCACTGGTGTGAGCATTTTAGTCCTTGTCCAAGGGCCAAGGCGAGTGACGCTGTGGCGCTGCCGCTCTGAAAATAGAAGTGGCTAAGATGCAGATGCGCCACAGCCAGTTCGTGTCCTCCACGCTTAGTCATGATCCGGCCTTCCCTTGACTCAACACGAGGTCATCACCAGCAGCCTCAACAGCCGCGTGACCAATGACTTCCACCAACTGACCTGACATTCACTTGTTCTATTGTTCTATCCAACATCGAGCAAAAATGGCCTGCTGCGCTGATTGATCCATCAAAACCACCCCATCTTCCATCCACCTGCCACCCCCCTGGCCACGCAAAACGCCGCAAACGCCAACATGTAAGCCATCCCCCCAAACACGATCAACGCCCTGTACGACCCGTCGCCGCCGCCCTCCCCGGCCCCCACCAACGCGCCCGCGATGGGGATGCCCACCAGCGCCCCGAAGCTGGCCACGAAGTACGTGATCCCGTTCGACTTGCCGTAGTCCTCGATCCGGCACACCCTCGACACGCACACGGGCGACAGGCTGATGGCCGCGCCGGACCAGAACCCGAACAGCGCCGCGAACGACATAATCCGCGCCCCGTCCCCCCCCGCCGTCAGCCACAGCCCCAGCACGAGGGCGCCGCAGCACAGCGACGTGGCGCACATGGTGTTGAAGGCGCCGGCGCGGTCGGCCACGTAGCCCGGGAGGACGCGGCCGGGGATGGCGCCCGCGTTGAGGACGGTGTTGAGGAGGAGGGAGGTCTGCAGCCCCAGGCCGCTGCGGACCGCGTAGGAGGAGATGTACGAGTAGGGGATGAAGACGGCGAACTCGACGAGGAAGATGGCGAGGACGGTGATGGCGAACTTGGCGTCGCGCAGCAGGCGGAAGTCCATGTACAGCTTCGCGTCCTTGTTGTCCGGGATGCGTTTGCGGAGGAAGACGTTGGCGACGAGGAGGAGGATCAGGGAGATGAGGGCGATAACGCGCATGGCCCAGGGGAAGCCGATGCGCGGGGCGAGGTGCTGGATGATGAGGGAGAAGCCGATCCCTCCCAGGCCGCCGGCCGTGCAGGCCAGGCCTGTCGCGAGGGCGCGGCGCTTGCAGAACCAGTGGCCCACGACTGAGAGAGCCGGGTTGAAGAGGAGAGAGGCGGAGATGCCGCCGCAGAAGCCGAATGATAGGAGGAACTGGTAGAACTCTGTGGCAAGGTTAGTATCGCGTAGTTGCGTAGTTTCGTAGACGCTCTGCCAATGGTGTGGATGCCTCACCCTTTGATAGACTGAGAAACACCATGGACAAGACTGTGCCAATGGACCCAGGTATCAGTAGAAGTTTGATGTCGTGAGCATCGAAAATCGGTCCTGTTCGCAATCCCGGATCGTCAACCTCGTAGCACAACAATCCCCATCGCAGTGCAACTGACCAACTTGGGCACCACAAGCGGTGATGAAGAAAGCGTAGACACTCAATATCCAACCCGTCGTGCTCTCAGGTATCCCCTTCAGCTCGTGTTCCCCGAACCAAGCGTGCAGCACCGCCAGCGTATTCATCATGCCCAGCGGGGGGACCATGGCACACCAGGCACCCACAACCACCATCCAAGCCGTGAACCCTCCCTCGGGATAATCGCCATCATCTTCTTCTTGGATGTGTATCGACAGGCCTCACGAATTTTTGTTAGCTGGGTAGGTTCCTCGCAAGCCGGGCGTTGACTCACCTCCACCAGCTACTTCTGGCTGAGCGACGACGAGATCCTGTTGCCCCTGGCGAGGCGCTCGCACCTTCATAACGTGAGAAATGCAGTTCCTACAACGGAAATATCCCCCGCAACTGTCTGGAATTGACTCTGAAACATGAGACACAATTTAAGAAATCTCTTTTTTTTTTTCTTACCCCGCGGACGACCGCGGGGCTGATCCCACCACTATCTCGGCCAGGATCCTCGGAGGTCGCCGATCTCGCCAAGATTTGCTCTGCACTACCTTGTCGTCCAGCATGGGCACCAGTTTTCATCGTCTAATGAAATGGGAGACTAATGGGGAACATACCGAAGTCTAAGCGGGATGAAATTGGCGATACTACGAAACACACATGCTCACGAACACTGACACCGCTGGCACGGATAAACGAAGTCTTGATCCAGAAATGTCCATTTGGCATCTCGCCAGTTTGAAAGTACACATTAAATGAATAAAATAAAATAAAAAGTTGTCCGTTTAAATACCCGCCCATTACTCCTGAAATTATACAATTTGCCTTCCTCCAACCATCATATATCGTGTCAAAATCCCAATCTCGTTAACCCCGGTCTAGTACGCGCCCGGGGGAGGAGGCTGGTACGGCTGCTGGGCGTTGCCCGTCCCGTTGATCGAGTTGGGATCATAGGCGTACGAGTTGGCCGCCGGCTGGTACGCGGGGGCCGTGTAGGGGGGAGGCACGTAGGGGGCCGAGCTGGAGGAGGGGGAGACGGAGGACTGGTACGGCACGCCCGTGGTGGACGAGTGCTCCGTGGAGGCGGCCTTGACGTCGGTGACTTGGCCGTAGGTCTGGGTCGGGTAGGCCGGCGTGGTGGTAGGAGGAGGGGCATAGTATCCCGTGTTCTGGGGCGCGGGCGAGCTGTAGCCGGTGTTCTGTGGAGGGGGTGATGCGTAGCCGGTGTTTGGCGTAGATGATGTGTATCCGGTGTTTTGGGGCACGGCCGCGTTGTATCCGTACGGTGCGTTCGGGTTGTAGGCCGTGTCTTGGTGGCCGGCGGGCGCGTCCTGGGGGTTGATGGGGGCGTACTGCGTCTTCATGGGGAACATGGCGTTGTTGCCGCTGCCGGCCTTGACGGGCTTGCTGTGCATGCCGGCGCGGCGGTGCTTGCAGACGACGATGCTGTGGATGAGCAGAGAGATGAAGTAGAACAGGCTGCAAGAGATGGTTAGTCGGATATGGTCCTAGATGTGTACAAGACAACTCTTACAATTGAATGGCGGCGACACCAGCGGCAGCAGCCAGGACAGGACCCAGGACGTCGAACACGGCGTATAGATCCTGCATGGCCTTGGTGCTGCTCTTGCCCTTGAAGTCGCCGAGGCAGAGACCGTTGTAGCAGCTGCCGGGGTACAGGTGGTCGTAGGCCAAGATGCCGACGGCGGCGAGGGCCAGGAGGGCGGTGGCGATGAGCCAGAAGAGGAGGAAGAGCATTTCGAAGACGAGGACGGCCCAGTAGTTGTAGGCCCGGGGAGCGCAGCAGTGGGCGCTCACGATCCAGGTGTTGACAATGGCAGTGACGACGGCCTATCGAGGTCAGCGAGGGCATTCCTTGGCTTGGGGATGGATCACCGCAAAACTTACCAGAGCCGCGACAAAGGCGAGACCTGCACCTTGGGCCTTGCTCAGGGCAAAACCCGCCAGACCCAGCTCCAGGATGGCGAAGATGAGCTGGAGGATACGCAGGAAGGTGAAGCCGCCGGGGTAGGGGGGGAAGTGCTCCTTGCCCGGATCGCGTCTGGTCTTGGCCATTGTGAAAGAGTGGTCGGTCGATGTGCGAGTCGGACGGAGATGCAAGATGTCGGCAAGACGGTCGGTTAGGTTAGTCGGTCGATCGCAGCGTCGAGAATGATGGCCAACAACACAATCCAATCGCCCACACGAGCAGACGGGAACACGAAGTAGAATGGCGGCTCACTCAGGCACGGCGGGAAATGGTAGTAAATATGGAATAAAAGGGCGGACCACTCCAACAGTAATAATAAGACGAGTAAGACGGACGATCTCGTCAAGCTTGTACGACTAGCCTGGTGGGTGTGGATGGCCCCCTAAAAAGAAGTGATCGGGAGTTCCCCATCGCACCAGAAGGACCCCTGTTCCGCAGGCTTTTTTCTCTGCAATTTACCAACACACCGGCCATCCCAGTTCACCTTAGTGCGTGGGCAATTCTGCCTTGTGGCCCAGGTACGGGCTCATCCCCTGTCCTCTTCCATTGCGCGTCCTGAAACCAACAGGGCAGTTGGCGGTTGATTGCGTATGGTTGTGCTGGGTAGGGCTGATACCTTTTCGCCCTCCTTGCCAATTGCCGTGTCCCATAATAGACCTTATGCTTAAGAACTGACTCCCAGTCTGGAGGCGTCAAGTAGCTCGCGGACGGAGGAAACGAGGCAGCGCGATGCGACGTCGGACACTCATTTTAGGCGGGAGAGTGGGGGGAAGGCTGAGCCATGATCGCCTGCTCTCATTATGCATGAACCCATGGCCATCACATGCGCGCGGGATGGATGAAGCGATAGATGCCCAAACAACTGCCGAATGTCAAGTGGGTGTTTATTGCTGGATCGATGCTCTGCTTCCTCTCCCTATTCTTGTTCACGACAACGCGGGATGGATGAGTGGCTCGAAAACTGGTGTTGGTTGCGTCTTCATGCCATTCCACCACCAACTAACTGCATCAGGAGATGGAGAGAGGCGCAAGTCCCTGAAGAGGGAAAAAATAAGCTGCACTAGTAACTGAATTAACGCTCATGCTACCGACAAAAGCACCACCCAAAACGTCCAGCCAACAACCGCTAACATTGTCCCCTCAGCCACCCAGCGCCAAGTCGTGCCCAAGCACCAACCAGCACCCACGCTGAGGCTGAGACGAATCGTCGCCCGTCCCGTCTATGATCTATCAATCTGATGTATTATTATTAGGTATTCATCGACTCACTCCAGCCCGCGCATCGTCACCACCGCGGCGCATTCCCTTCATCCAAGCCTCCCTTCCCCTCTGCCATGTAACCCCTTTCTCCCCCCATTGCAACGCTATACCGTGCCCGAAGAGCTGAGATCGACGCCGTCCTTGTTGTCATACTCGGTCTTTCTCTTCCCGCCCAGCTGGAAGTCCGCGTCTGGCCAGCGGCCCTCGAACGCGACCCCCGGATGGAGGACGCTCAGCGCTATGCACGCAATCAGCACGAGCGTGCTCTCGAGGATGAAGAAGATGGTCTCGTTCTGCGCCAGCTTGCTGTCGAAGCCCTCGCTCAGCTCCGCGACTCGGTACGCCGTCCGGACGAGGATGCAGAGTGTCGCGAGCGCCAGCCCTAATCCAGCCCCGTGTCAGCCCACTGAGAATCATTGAGGAATATATATCCCGGAAAGGCCCAACTTACCACCCATGAATGCCTTGAATCTCGGCGATGATTGGAGCGAGGCGAACTGCGGGTTCCATGTGCTCGCGTTCTTGTAGACCGAGTAGGCGACCTGGCACGACAGGAGCACGTAGATGCCAATCGCGCCGAGGTGCACGCCCAGACCTGCCTTGAGGATGGCCAGGGCGGTGTTCAGCGTGTCGAGGTCGGTCTGGCCGACGGTGAGGGCGCCCCCGCCGGCCTGGAGGACGAGGGCGAAGAAGTCGGAGAGCATGAAGATGATGGTGATGGTGCGCGGGCGGAGCCAGGAGACGTGCTCCCCGTAGACGGCGATGATGCGCGCCAGGCAGAGGTAGATGGCGGCGCTGATGAAGGCGGGACCGATCGTGACGCAGACGATTTGCCTAGGATAACGAAAATATGCTGTCAGAGGTGAGGCGTAGAGGGGAGTCTGGGTGTAGACGCTGACTTACATGACGGCATGGTCTTTACCCTGATGGAGGAGGATGCGCGCCGTGTAGGCGATGACCTCGAGGATCAAGCCGGATAGCATGCCAAAGGAAAACCCCCATGTTCGGTATTTCAGGCCGAAGAAAACCTGAGGAAGCAGTAGAAGTGAATAGGCGGCTAGGAAAAAGGAGTTGCCTCCGAGCTGGTAGGTGAGGACCATGGCTGGATGTATTTATGAAGATCCTGCTATGTGGGTGTCTTCGAGGTGAGTGAAAGCACTGAATGAGTGTGTACTGCCGTCCATCTACTTGGACCTCGACAGAGCAGCTGGTGAGCCTTTATGTCTGCCATCCTGTGTCTCTCTCGCCAAGTGTTGGTCAAGTCATCTTGCGTGGCATGAACTCAGCCTCTGGAGATGAAGCATGTTCTCTCCATTACTAGACGAACCGGCCAATGAGAGAGCTGCTCTGCACAATCCTGCTCCATCGGAAGCTTGCCCTGCCCATTAATCAGCCTCCTGATGTATGAGTTAATCGCCGCGATCTGGTCCTAGCTACGCGTGTCAAGCGGGAGGCGGGACATATCACCAGCCGCCCACGTTGTGATCTCCGGGTGCCCCGGGTCCCGAGAGCAAGACTGCCCTGGCGATTGGCTGTCTAGACGAGCGGGCCAATCAGCGCGCATTTGCTGGGATGTGTGTGTGAGATGTAAGATCCGCAGCATGGTGGAGAATTGCATCGTCTTTCGTCTTCAGCCGTTGCTGGCAAGGCTGGTTATTGTTCAAAAGGATGTTCAACCGAACATAGTGAGCGCACTATCCCAGGTATTAGCAATATCATGAAAAACAGGGAAACAGGATTGACTGGACGCACTATCAAACAACGTGAACGCTAAGGCCGAGAGATCACGCAGTTCATCTATGCCAGAGGTTCGTTTTATGCTCAAATCTAGCATGAAGGCCCCCTTGCTTCAATATCGTACCTTAGCTCTAGCCGGCTACGGAAGCTTTTGAGACTAAAATGACACGCACGCCGTCCCGGGCTGGGAACACACAAACACCCGTCGTTCAAAGGTCAATCATTCGACACATTAATCAAAAAGGACAACAAGGAGAACCCTGAAATTAGGCAAAAGATAAGGTAGAAAAAAAAGTAAAAAAGTTTGGACGAACGGGGAATTGAACCCCGGACCTTTCGCAAGATCGCTATCACTTGGATGCGAAGCTGAGTTTGTTAGTTGGTGTTCAAATTCCGTTTTGGTGCAACTCAAACTTACCGAACGCCATACCCCTAGACCACACGCCCGTTGATTCTTATTAGTCAGTGCTTATTTTGAGTATATCAACCAGCCATTTTCCCGATGCTATAACGGCCAACACCTACGAAGGGTAACTTGCGGATTCTTGGGCGGTTGTTCTAGTCATTGACCACGAGACTTGGAATTTGGCCATCATATTTACAGAGAGAGAGGCATGACAATAAATCCATAGCTCTGGAAAGAATTCAGAACAATATCCTGCTTCCTCTCCTTCCTCTCCTCAGATACGGTGCGACCATCCATATGCGAGACGTCACTTCGTTCTCAAACCCTAGATAGAGACAATCGAATTACTTCTATCAGACTCTTTTTTAGCACATTGGACAGGTAGGTGTGTAGCGAGAAACTATCCTCTTCTCTATCCGCAATTTCTTGAAAAGTATGTAGACTAACAAAAGAAACGCAAGTTATGAATGTGTATTGGCCGTCGATCGCCGGCCCTAGCAAGACAAAGCCGAACGTTATGCTTCCTTGATGATTGTCTCGTTGCCCAATTCAAATAATCCTGCGACTTAAACTACTGAATTGCTACCTCTTGACTTCCGAGAAGCCTGCCCGTGACCGAGACGGGCCTTGAGAAATCGGATTGCTTGCCAGGCGTTAACCCAGCCCCATGAGCCTCTCACTTGGGATCCCTTCATCCCTTCCTCCAGTCCTCCAGTCCTTCCCCTAGTCCTTGCTTTGGGGCAACTATGGTGTATTTCCTGGAAAGTTTAATCGCTACCCCCTGACTGGTCATCTTGGTCCGGTGCTGTTGGAATCGTCGCACGGGTGTTGTGCCACTGCCACAGGTGCTGTTCTTCCAAGAGCGCCTTCACATTGGCAATTGTAGACGCTCTGCGGACATTCAATAGCTTCAGATCAGTAGAGGCCTCATCCAATTCCTCCGGATATCTGCACGGCAGACCCATTTTCTTCCTCCATGAGTCGTAGACAAACGACGGTGCCTTTGAGCAAGACATGTCCGGCAACTCCCAGGGGAAGGACGGTATAGACTGATCTTTCGGCGTGTTTTCGGTGACTAGATGACCTTTTGTTAGTAAACTGAGGATTTTGCCCAGCAGCTGAACGAGGGGACTTGCAGGCACTGAACCACATCAATTTGTCAACCTGGACGCCCAGTACGTCAGACGCTACCCAGTGACGCCTCGATCGCGTATAGTGTATTAAAATTTCTGTCAGGGATCTCAGTCGCAATCTTCTGACAGTGTCGAGATCGATTGGCAACGCGAAAAGGATAAATGAATCCATATACAGCTGACGGCCGCTCTCATCCAGGACATCGGGGATGCCACCCGGATGCTCAAATTTGTGTTCCTCGCCACGCGGCGACACAAACAACAAGTGGCTTCTCTCGTCATCCATGACTAGTCTGAAAGCGAAAAGCAATAAGAGAAACAGAAAGTGTTGTGCGCGCGCGTTGTGTGGGTAGCTAGATGTGTTGAGAGAAGATGTGTGTGGGAGAAGTGGAGGTTGAAAGGCTCAGATGTTTCTCACCACGCGGACGATTGTTCTCGGGCTACATAATGAATACAGTGGCAATATCGCTTAACGCGTTGCGCTTTCCTACTGGCGATGGGAGGTAAACAAAGTGAAAAGCAAAAGCCCACTTCCATTGCTTGTCTATGTATCCAAGCAAGTACGGTGCATCAAAAGGGCAAGGACCCGGATGCTTGCTACCTAGTACCTACAAGTCGGACATCGCTGCATTTATTTTCTTAGATCTTTGAGCATATTTACACGTCATGGCGAGTTTCCTGGGCTTCTAGATAATTCCGACGAGGGCAAGCAGCTCAAGGGTACACCTAGAGTCTTCAATCATACCTACCTAGTTAGTTGTTACCACAGCCTCGACGTTTGCGAACCGTGTACATCATATGGCAGGTTCTTTCTAGCCTGTCCACTCATTCCGGGAAACCCCTAATACCACTAGAACTGATAGCATCTTAACATGAAGCATGGGCTTAAGAGTACCAGAATCTGTCGTAAATGGTGACCTACCCTAGAACCAATCGGCTGACACGATCACTCTTCGATGTCCCATTCCTTTATCAAAACAGACTTTGAGAATGAGACTCTTTTAACAATAGAGTCATTCTTAGTTTTGATTGAAATAAATTACTCTGTGTAACTTATAGAGTCCGCATATAAAGAAAAAACAAAAACAACGGAGGCCACGGGATTGGGACTTCACGTTTCTTTGAGCTGAGAATATATAACTGATTAATTGTTGTTGAGGTCATTGCACAGATGCTTAGTACCCATTAGGCCTAAATTAAGAATGGAAGCCTGGAATATTTGTGCCGCCCGCTTGAGGCCTTCAGGGAGCCTGAGGCATAGCAGACAGACAATACGAGGATCGCCTCAATTTTTGGTGGGTACGAGCCCTGCAGTTCGATCCTGCCCGGTCCACGCTTTCCCAGAAGACATCTTCACATCTTCACCTCGTTCTTTCATCGAGCTGAGAATCCGTCTCTCGTATTCATGCACACGTAAGCTGTAACAAGCGATACGGGAGAATTCCTCCAGTCCAAATCTCGATGTCCTTGGCCATGGTTCATATATTGCCTCGGACCACCTCATGATCTCGGCGCTCACCTCGCAAAATCGCGCCATCCAACCGTGACTCCCATGCCCAAGACCGAACTGACCATCCGCAAGAGAGCAAAGCACACGCGCTCGAATCTGGGATGCGGCGTCTGCAGAATCCGACGAGTCCGCTGCGACCGCACGCATCCCGTTTGCCAGCGCTGCTCCAGCACCGGACGCGTGTGCGACGGGTATCCCACCCAGCAGCCAGCGTCAACACCATCTCCGCAAGCTTCCAACGAGAGGATCGGCCACCTGATCGTGAGGCGCGCTGCCAGCCTCCCGCTCGCCCCCAGGATCAATTCGTCCCTCCAGTCCAGCTTCCCCGAGTCGCTCAGCGATGAAGAGACCCGGGCCTTCCACCATTTCCGGCAGAGCACTGCGGCCGATCTCGCGGGCGAGTTTGCGACCGACTTTTGGGGCCGGCTGGTGCTTCAGGTCGGCCATCGGGAACCGTGTGTCCGCCATCTGACCATCGCCATCTCGTCGCTGCACGCAAGCCTGGTCAACGATGGCTTCGCTACCTCGCTCTATCCCATTCTGCCCGCGGAGGACCTCAGAAGTCGAGCCGTCGCTCAGTACACCAAGGCGCTGCACCTCTTCAACCAGCACATCGTCTCCAAGCAGGGCTCTTCGTTCGACGTGACCATGCTTTGCTCCTTGCTGTGCATGACCTTCGAGTGGCTGCGCACAAACCACAATGCCGCCCTTGTCCACCTGCGGAGCATTCTCCGGCTGGTGCGTGAATGGCACGAGACCAGCACCGGCTCAACAGGGCGCATCACCGGGAACCAGACCTCGTACTGGTCGCCCAGCGGCCATCTGATCCGGTCGACGCTCTTCCCCATGCTGAGGCGGACGATGATGGAGGTGCGGTCGATTGTCAACAACGCCGACGACATGGTGTTTCCTGCCATTGAGCCAGAAACGTCCGACCCGGACACCTTCAGCAACGTGGTCGAGGCAAGAGATAGCCTCTTCGTCATCCTGGGAGATCTGTACGACCTCTTCATCCAGGTAGGCCCCGCGAAGCCCAAGATTAGACCGCGCCAACCACCGGCGCAGAAGAGCCTCACTCCCCAAGCCAGGTGGGATCTCTGGTCCACCCGGCTGAAGAATTTCCTGGCCCAAGACGCAACACAGCATAGCCTGGCTGCGTCGCTGACGCTTCGGATCTGGCAAAAGACGACAGGGGTCATGTTGGCCGTCAAAGATGTCCAAGAGGAGGTAGTGTTCGACGTATTCACGGATACGTTTGAGACCATAGTCGACCTCTCCACCCAGCTGTACTCGCTCCCGAGGTCCGGTCTCTCGGCAGACATGTCCATCGTCGCCGTACTATACTTCACCGCCACCAAGTGTCGCCATCCGATTATTCGGAGGAGAGCGCTCGGGCTGCTGACGGCGGCGCCGCGCAGAGAGGGGATCTGGCAGAGCGAGGGGGCGGCCAAGGTTGCGACGGAGATTATGGAGATCGAGGAAGGGTCTGTTGCTGGGGAGGTGACGAAGGAGACGGACTTGAAAGAGAGTGCGAGGGTCAGGCAGGCAGTGGTAGATCTTGGGGGCGAAGACACCACATGGACGATTGGCATGGTTATGAGCGGTGGTGGAATGTGGCACCGGGGTCTGCACCCTCCTTTTGGCCTGCAAAACTGAAGCAAGATAGAACATAGAATTGAATATACGGGATCTCTATTGGAGGGATAACAACACAGCCGTCTGCGTACCTGTATTTTCTTCGCACGTCGTGCTCGATATCATGAGGGTGAGATGGGACCCAAAATGGTCTCGTGTTCCTCCTCACTTTCTGCCTTCTCAACCGATACAGGCATGAACTAAGTCGAAGTGCCAACTTTCTTGCAATATCATGTTGCATATTTATGGTCAAAGGCATATCGTTCGAATATCACCTCTAGAAACTACGAGACCTGCTACGCAAAGCGTGTGATGAGAGAGACCGTATCACAAGACCCGATGAGGTGTTCCCGTCGCGTATCTCTGACCAAAATGCCACACCAGCTCACCAATACCTTATATATTAATTCCCCGGACATGTCATTCAACAATAGCCCCTGTGGCGCAGTGGTCAGCGCGCTCGATGCTGTATTCCCGTCATGTACTAGCTCTACAGACTTACTGACTACCCCCGAGTCTTTCCATATCTTAAGAGGTATGAATTGAGCAAGGGTACAAGGTGCTTAGAGAATGGGTACTTAACGGGAACCATGGAGAGGTCCTCGGTTCGAGTCCGAGCAGAAGCATTATTTTTTTCCCTTTTCTCTTTTTGCTCTCCAAGGTGAGGACTTGCACAGGTTTTGAGCAGCAGGGCAATATCACCCTAGAGGATACTCATTGCTGTGTCCTTCACCCCGTACATTTTCGGCATGGAAATTTGAATATATCACATGTGACATCCACTAGACTCCCTAAAGCCCTCTTTCGAGCGGTCACTTCATTGTATTTAATCATTGGAGGGAGCTTGTGCTCGCCGAACGGATAGTGCCCTCCACTTGTAAGAGAGGGCAGACGATGGATATATGTAAGGATGTCTTCATTATGATGGGGGTCTGGTAGAGTCCCCTCCGTCCTCATCCTTCATCGAAATCCAACTAAACTCACATGCTAAAGATAAATCCGCGTATTCATTAGAAGTAGGTATATTCAAAGTTACAGTGTCCAGGCCTACGCCTCTTTAGCGGGAACCTCCCGACTGCTTTCAAGAATCTTCCCACCCTTGCCGCCGTCAATGGACCCTTCCGAAACCGGCTGCTCAGCCTCGATACCATCCGTGACGCTGGCATCCCCGAACAGGGCGTTGATCTCCTCGAGCTTGAGGCCCTTGGTCTCGACGAATGTGAAGTAGGCGACGATGAGGAAGACAAAGTTCCACGATGCGTTGATGAAGTAGAACTTCCAGCCCAGGTTGGCCATTGCGTATGCCATGGCGAAGGAGGCGAGGAGACTAAGCACCGATGACATGTTAGAATCAACTTTCCGAATAAGGAATATTGTAGAGTTTGTTGAATATACGTACCCGAATCCGGCGTCGAGCATGCGGAAAATGGCAAGGCCGGTAGTACGCAGCTTGAAAGGGGACACCTCGGTGGGGTATAAACTGGTCATTGGCGTGATGCCGAACGCATAGAAACCTTGGAAGAGGAAAATAACCGCAATGGTTCCGTAAATGCCCGACGTGTTCTCGCTTTCACCGTAGACTAGAGGAGACGGGATTGTCAGTTATTGAACCATTCCACACCAAGGGGGGAAGGAGGAAAAGTACGCTTGATGAGACCACCAATCAGCAGAAGTGTAACGACCATGCCACCGACGCTGACGAAGGTTTGGATCCTGCGGCCGAGGATGTCCAGCATGAAACTGCCAAGCACGGCCACGGCGAATGACCAGCAGTTGATGACGACTTGGATCTGCGTCTGCGTGGTTGTGTTGGTAATACCGGCCTGGTTGAGAATCTTGGTAAGATAGAACCTAAGAAGTGTCAGAACTGGCCAGAGACAAAGAAAAGTCAAGATGCTAAATCAGAAAAGAAGCCGTATACTCACGAAATGACAAAGTTACCAAACATATTAATCATAGGACCAAACGAGCAGAGAATCGCAAGGCGTCGCCTGTTTGCCTTTGTCGCAATCATCTCGCGCCAGGGGTTATGCGGAAACTCCTTGGCCTCTCTCGACAGCGTGCTCTTGATCTCCTCAAGCTGCTCCGATCCCTTTTGAATATCCACATTGTCCTTCCCCTGCATGATGATCAAGATTTCGAGAGCCTCCTCGTCGCGGTCATGTGCGATGAGCCACCGGGGCGACTCTGGCACGAACGGGACAATCACGACGGCCAGCAGGCTCGGGACGAACTGCAAGAGGGAAGGCAGTCGCCAGGCCCACGTGTTCTGGATATTCTGGCTGCCGTAGTTGACAATGGACGAGGCCAGACTACCGATGTAGAAGCAGGAGAAGAAGAGACCGAGGAGCCGGCTGCGTCTGTGAGGGGGGAGCAGCTCGCCAAGCAGTGTCGGGGCAGCCCCGTTGCTGATGGCTGAACCTACGCCGATGATGAAGCGGGCAACGATGAACATTGCCTCGTGCTGAGCGGCCGCCTGCAGGATCACGCCGACCACAGTGACGACGGAGGCAATGTAGATGGCCTTGCGGCGGCCAAAGTAATCCGGAACCGGCTGCATGAGGAACGCGCCAAAGATGCCGCCCATCCAGTTGGCTGCATTGTTGAGCCCTTCCAGGGCGGTTGTCAGCTCGAAGTAGTCTGCAAAGGATGGCAGCATCAACAATCCGTTCATGACTGAAGAGTCATAACCGAGTGTCTAAGATGCAGTTTCAGGTCAATGGTCGGAACAAGAGAAGGTTTTCCTTTCTGATGCGAAACTCACTGCGGAGTTGACAATTGTAACAGCAAGAAGCAACGGCATAAGGAGCCGGTGGTCTGCGGGAACCAGTTTGGAAACATGTTTCCGCTCGAATTGAGACGTCATGTTCTCAGACGTTCTCTATTGTGAGCAAGTTGAATCACTCAGTGAGAAAACAGTCAAAAGGGAAACAAAGAGGGAGCAAAAGCTGGGTCTCGGAGATCGGAGACGATCAAGGTCTGAATCAGGCGAGTCGATGAACATTTTCCTGATTTTGCGAGGTGAGGATAGTCTACTATAAATTCCCAACGGGTATCAATGGGAATTAGTGATTGTCGAGTTTCTATTGGCTACGGCACTGCTCGGTTGAGCTTATCGTCTCCTGGCTCTTGACGAAGGACGCTATGGAGGTTTCGACCCACCCCGCATATCCAACTGGCACTCCATGGCGGGGTTTTGCCCTGTCAAATTGTACACTAATGCCGTCTGTGTAACCCACCCGAACTCGGGCGAGCTCGGGTGGGTTGTTTGGTTCCATCAATGTCGGCTAAGACGGCCAGAGTTGACCTCCCAGGGGAGACCAGCTGATAAGATATTAGACACGACTCATGGCTCGAAATGACCGGAATATTCGTTGGAATTTGGTTGTAAGAATTCTGTTATACTCAAACACTAAAAAGAGTTATCAGAAGATTGAAGGCCCAGAGCCCCCTACCCCTATCTAACAAAACCGCAACTGATTACGCTTTCAATATGCCAGCACGGATCAGAGAATGGCCTTCTTGGGCCGAATACACTTCTGAATCTCCTGCAGAGGCTGAAGACACCGATTTCCTTAATACAAAAAGGGCAATAATTGCCCAATACGGCGAAGCGGCGCTTCGGAAGAGTTGGCTCAAGGTGTGCGAGGAACTGAAGAGCGTGACGGATGAGATTGCCATCAAGGGTAATTCCATAATTCCCTCTTTTGACACCACGGAAGTTCTCGAGCATGGTTTCACAGAGGCTCAGAAGCAAGAGGCAAAACGGGTTGGCGCCTTTGTCTTTCGAGGCACGATCCCAGAGGCCGAGGCGAATATGCACTACCAAGACTTGAGAAAGTTCATCAAGGAAAATGACGCTGCAATCCAGAGATGGCCCAAGGAAAGCCCCTCCATGTTTATTCTGTACAATTCACCAACACAGAACACTATACGATCTCATCCCAACCACCTCAAACTGCAACGCGTTCTTAACGAGTTATGGCATGACTCAACCAACCGATCCTCCCCGGAGCCGCTGGTATATCTTGATGGCGTCCGCGATAGAGCTCCAGGGCAGGTCTTCTTAGGCTTGGGGCCTCACATTGACGCTGGAAGCCTCTGCCGCTGGGCCGATCCCACGTACCGCGAAGCATACGGCCACATCTTCTCCGGAACCCCGGAGCAGCACGACGCCTACGAGCTGGGTATTCGTCAAGACGCTGACCAGGAGTTGTACAAAGGCATCGCGCACTCGACGGTTTTCCGGTCTTTCCAAGGATGGACAGCTCTGACGCCCACCGCCCCCAGAGAGGGAACCATTATGCTGTATCCCAATGTCAAGGCCGTGATTGCATACCTGCTGCTGCGGCCGTTTTTTAAGCCCCCAAAGGATGGAGAGGATTTGATGGACGCCGAAAAGTGGAAATTTGATGAATCGACCAGCTGGTTCCCCGGCACGTTCAAGGCACAAAGCCAGCGCCTTAGCCGATCGTCTCATCCTCACTTGAGGCTTGAGGAATGCCTCGTACACGTGCCTAAAGTGAACGCGGGTGATACCGTCTGGTGGCATTCTGACGTATGTTTCCCCTAGTCTCTTTGGATTTGATTTCATCTTGGTTTTCTTTGGTCGTCGCTCTAACTAAACTGCCTTTTAGCTTTGCCATGCTGTAGACACTGAGCATCTGGGCAAGAACAATGCTTCGGTAGCTTTCATTGCTGCCTGCCCATCTACACGGCTCAACGAGGCGTACGTGAAGAGGCAACTGGCTGCGACACTCAATGGAATTCCTTCGCCTGATTACTCTATTGGGAATGATTTGAACGAATCGACATTGAAGGGGTATGTTGGGCTTGAGGGGCTAAATGAGGAGGCAAAGAGGGCATTTGGTTTCCATCTGTTGAATGAGGCATAGGGTCTCTTGATATGTTGAGGCTTGTAGAGAATAGTGACAGCCTGTATCAACCAGTGTGAGAATCCACCAGTTGTGTTGAATCTCTCACTCTTCCACGTTCATTCCTTGTTTATTTCCGCTCGAAGAATGACAGCGGCCTGTTGAGCAACTGCACTCTGGTCCTTGACTTGGTCTAGAAGGTATAGAGCGGTGTTCATAGAGTCCCAATATGCCTCATTTTGATCGTCTGGAACTGTCTGATGCTCGCGCAATAACAGGGTTGCAGCAACAAAGACGTGAAACGACAGAGCCCTATTACAACATCCTAGTGATTAGCTTCCACCTCGTGTCATCCTAGAGATGAAACATACCACTGCTTGCGCATAGACGCTGGCTGGTCCCAATTGTGATTGATCCATATCACACTCATTGCGGACGTGACGCTAATTGTTTTCGCCCAAGAATACCTCTGGGGCTCTGCCTGCCATTGCGCTTGGAGAGCACGACTGATCCGTACGCGCAAATGCAGGAGGACGACAGTCACGTCAAACCTTTGCCACTTGACCCAGGGATGGGCTTCTTCCAGCTGGCGCACGTGCTCGCTTCCCGAATTGTCGGGCTTCAAATACTCTGGCAGAGTGTTGATAACTTCGGCCAGTTCCTCGTCTGCCTTCCTAACGGCTTCCTCAACCGGTTTGACCGCGGCGCGGATTGCCACGCAGAATCGATAGTAGGCAGTGGCTGCTCTGGCCATGAAGATGTGATAATGAACTGGATCTACATGCATGTTCTCGTCGGGAGTCATTGTAGATACTGGTAGAGACATGTCGAAGTCGACCTCATCAACTTGTGGTATTTGGTAGGGGACTCGCATCCTGAAGGGGTTCAAGAATTAGTGGAAGCATTTCATTAAGATGTCAGAAGACGAGCCATACCATTCGACAATCATAAGAGTCCACCAGAGTCGGCGTTGACCTTCTGCGCTGAGTATGTTCGTTGTGCTAGATGGGGGGTCGTGTAGAGAAATGGTCTGTGCTATCCGAAGAGCGCAACTCCACAGATGGACATCTAAATCCGAGTCTCCCCAGTTGTTGAAGCACATTCCGAGGATGGCGACTGCTTGGACGGAGCGGATTGAGCGTGTTCTCATGAAGTCGGAGCGATGAAGACAAAAGATGGAGGCGTCATACCACATCTTGCCTGCTCTCCTTTGATCAAATCCTATGGAGCACTGAGCGATGGACGAGAGGTGAAGAATTCTAGAAAAGAAAGCGGTCGGCTCACCTTGAGGGAGAAACACACGAGTGGCTTCATCTTCAGCCATCATTAACAGAGCAGCCTATATGATAAGAGATACAATCAACGGATTTTGGACTGTAGGATCATAATCCAGATAGCATGTGGCTTACGGATAAAACGGCAAAGTATACCGCCAACCATGCTGGATCATATTCTTCCAGCGCGCCTCCCTTTTCGAGCTCTGCATAGAACTCGTCACACTCGATTTCAAACGAAGGATACTCTAGAGCATAGTGAACCCACGAGTTCCATATGCGGTCAAACTCTACGAGTTGCTCGCTACATTGACGGCTAGGCATCAAGATACTTCCCCAGTCGGTCGCCATTGGCGAAGGCGGTGATGATGCGGAGACGAGTTTCCATAGTCTCTTCTCGAGCTCATCATCATTTCCCAGACTTCGTCGAAGCTTTTCGCCGCGTGAAGCAGGTGAAATGGAGACCTGCTGGCGCTTCAATAATTCAATCTCGTCACGAAGACGCTGATTCTCATCCTTGAGCTCGTCATACGTGAGAAGATCCGGCGCATCCGTCCATCTAGAGAGATACGTCAGTATACCTGAGTGGCGGGCATGTCTACAGAGATATACGCACGTCGTCACGGCGCCCCGCACAATGACCATCTCTCTAGCGCAGGCATCTGCTTGTCCTCGCTTGATACAGGTCGAGCATGGCACATTCTTATCGCATTTGACCTTGCGGGATGAGCATGCGAAACAGCTACGGGGTGCGCGTTGGGTTGTCCGGAACGCCATGGCTGAGACGGAGTTGGTCCTGAAATGGTGGGAGGACAGGTTTTGACCAGTTACTGGCTGGAATTGATTCGTGAGTCTGAAGGGAAGGGACGGGAGATGGTCGTTCCTTCCCCGTTCAAAGCCCGATAAGCGACGGCGATAAGCGAGAGCCCGATCGCGGCGAGACAAACTTCAACCCCGCGATTTGATCAATAGGCGAGGTACGGAGTACTCGGTGGTGATTGAAGATGGGTGATAGATTGGCTCATCGGATGCGGCCGACAGTCCGGGGCAGTCCGGGGAAAGCAGCGGCGTACGATCAAGTCAACTGGTGGGACTCGACCGAGCTCAACCGAGTGCTCCTCCCCCAGTGAATATAACATGGTGATGCCATTACAAGCCAAAAACTGGGCCGAAGTCGCCCGAGATCATCGGCCAGCTCCTATCACGGGTGCATGTGTGGCACAACGCCTTGATGTGTCAGAGCATGCATATGCAGGTCTGCCACCTGCTTTTCAATCAACGGCCTTTGTCATCTCAACTTGATCTGACGCTGGCCTCTCTCCTCGTTAGAAAAGTCTTCTTTGCAGGTCCGCGTCCCAGAGAGGTCCGTTGGTCACATCCTCGTGGCGTCATTCTTCATCACCATGTCTGCCACACTCGTCTTCAAAGGCGCCATAATCCATTCAGAATCTTTCGGCAGCTTGGAGATCTTGGACCACGCGACCCTGATCGTCGTAGACGGCCGCATCAGCGCCTTGTATCGTGCATCTGACGAGCTCCCTGCCACCGCAATCCCCGCCGATGCGCAGGTCCATCAGATCCCTCCTGGAGAATTCCTCATCCCCGGATTTGTCGACACACACAACCATGCCCCCCAGTGGCCGATGCGAGGTCTCGGGCAGGGCTTGCACATCCTAGACTGGCTCGAGCAGGTCACGTTTCCCTTCGAATCCCGCTTTGCTGACGCCGCGTACGCCCAGCGAACCTACGAGCAGATGGTGGGGGATTTCCTACGCCAGGGAATCACAACAGCCTCATACTACAGCTCTCGGCATGCGGATGCGACCAAGGTCCTGGCCGAGACATGTGCAAAGAAGGGCCAGAGGGCCTTTGTGGGCAAATGCAACATGGATCGCAACGCGCCGGACTACCTACGAGACATGACAGCAGCCGATTCGCTCGGCGAGACGGAGCAGTGCATTAGCCACATCCGGGGCATTCCTGGCTGTGAAAAGGAAAATGAGAAAGCTCTCGTGAAACCCATCATCACGCCTCGGTTTGCCATCTGCTGTACGCCCGAGCTGCTGGAGGGGCTGGGCAAGATGTTGAAGGAGGACTCCTCGCTCGCCATGCAGACGCACTTTAACGAGGCGCAGCAAGAAATCGACTTCACCAGGGTCCTCTTCCCAAAAGAAGCGAGCAAGAGCGAGGCGGACCTGTACGAGAAGTACGGGTTGCTAAATCACCGCTCCGTCCTGGCACACTGCACGATCATGACGGACTACGACAAGGAAAGGCTGAAGCACCTGGAGTGCGGTGTGGCCCACTGCCCCATTGCCAATATGACCGTTGGCGGAGGTTTCATGGTGGCACCCGTAAGAGATTTTCTCCAGCGAGGAATCAAGGTCGGGCTGGGAACAGATAGCGGCGGTGGGTGGGCGTCGCAGATGCTGATGGTGATTCGGCAGACGATGATTGCCTCGAATGCGCAGGAGGTCATGTCCAAGGGACAAGACAAGGCGCTCTCGCTGGAGGAAGTGTTCTATTTGGCGACGTTAGGCGGTGCCAGGGTCTTGTGTCTTGACGACCAGATTGGCAGTTTTGAGGTTGGGAAGCAATTTGATGCCGTCTGGGTAGCAACCACAACAGGACTGCACTCGGCCATGACACCGCGGGAGGAGGACGACTCCCTGAGGACCTCGTTTGAGAAGTATATCATGACGGGGGATGATCGGAATGTGGCTCATGTGTACGTGCAGGGCAGACGTGTGGCAGGTTCCAGAGCCGAATAAAAGAGTAGAAGGAAGTATTGAAAGAAAGAATTAAATCAAATCAAAAGACAACGTCAAGGCAAAAGAAGGAGGATCAATATCACTGACCATGTTCAATTGACACCGAGCTCTGGGGGATTCTAACCCCCCAGCTAGGTGACATTGAATTTGAGACACTCAAGCATTATGTTACTTCAATTGCTGTCTGATTTCTTCTGTCACCCACTTGGCCCCAGACAAGGGCAGAATAATGGCCCAAATACAGCGGCTACCCCGCTGAATTTATGGACCTCGGCACTGGAGCGGTGTTCAACCTCAACCAACGAACTGCAACATGGAAGCGACACATCACCACCCAACCCAAACCTAGCAGCCGAACGGAAAGATATGGTGAACCACCTGAAATACCATGACTCGGCATTTTTCCCTCCCGAAGAGGCTACGATCAGGACCAGCGCTCGGCCTCGCGGTGGCCGTGCCTTCCACCCTTCACCACCAGGCCGTTATCGGTCGACCATACTCCTCATCCACGGCTTATGATGATACCGTTTCAAACTTGCGAATAGGCAAGGAGACACGTGTGATATTCCAAGGATTCACCGGGAAAGCAGTAAGTGCGCACTTCATGTTTACATCTACACCACATTGACTGAGCATCATTCAGGCCACAGCCAACGCTAAAGACACAATCGCATATGGCACCAATATTGTCGGCGGTGTCTCCCCCGGGAAAGGTGGACAGATCCATCTAGACCGACCCGTGTTTAACACGGTCCGAGAGGTAATTGACATTGGCTTACACTCAGGCTCTCAAGACCCCGCAAACATCGTGGCCAGGTGTCTAACCGGGCGTGAGTAGGCCATGGAGGCCGTCAAACCCGACGTCTCTTCCGTCTTCGTGCCCGCGCACTCGGCGGCAAAAGCCATCATCGAGGCAATCGAAGCCCAAGTACCGCTAGTGGTCTCGGTAGCAGAGCACATCCCAGTTCACGACATGCTGCGCGTCCACGAGATCCTGAGAACCCAGAGCCGCACCCGGCTCGTGGGGCCCAACTGCCCTGGGATCATCGCCCCCCACCAGTGCCGCGTCGGCATCATGCCCTACCTGCAGTACGCGAGAGGCTGTGTTGGGATCGTTTCCAAGTCGGGGACGCTGAGCTATGAAGCCGTCGGTTCCACGACCAAGGTGGGATTGGGCCAGAGTATTGTCGTGGGCATGGGAGGGGACATGCTGTCCGGTAGGATATAATTTTTTTTCTCACACTCGCCAGATCCGTTCCCTTGACTTACTTTCATGTACAGGAACGACATTGGCAGATGGACTGAGGCTCTTCTTTGACCATGAAGAGACCAAAGGGATCATTGTCATCGGAGAGATTGGTGGCGAGGCAGAGCTAAAGGCGGCAGACTTAATCAGAGAGTACCGACGTGCGACGCCAAACCCCAAGCCCATCATCGCCATGGTCGCCGGAAGGACTGCGCCAGAGGGCAAGATGATGGGCCATGCGGGCGCGTTCCTGTCCTCGCGCGACATCTCCGCCGAGGCAAAGGTGAAAGCTCTGGAAGATGCTGGTGCTATTATTGTCCCACATCCTGGTGTGATGGGCCAGGTCATGATGGAACTTCTTAAGAACAGATGAAAGCATTCAATTTCATACGGATGTACTGTCGCTCGCGCTAACTCGGATGGTAAATAGCATAATTAGTCTACGGAATACTTAACTTATGCTCCCTAGTCCTACCTCTCTCTGAAAAAAAAACACATGTTTATTGACCTGCTGCGAAACGAACAGCCATCTTGGCTGCCTCTCCGAAATCAGCCTCGACATGTATCCCAAGCTTGGCCTCATCGAGCTGTGAAGCGATTAGCATGGAGATGACTGCAAAGAACATGGAGACTCAGAAACCAAGTTGACATACCATTTTCAATCCCTCGACCGAGTTTGTGCCCTGCAATCGAACCACAACGGGTACCTTGATCGGCCCCAGCTCTGTCGCGGCGCCAATGATGGATTCAGCAATCATCCGACCATCCGTGATGCCTGCAGCCAGAGAGAGTCGTACTATCAGCAAATCATCTTCATCGCATATCAATCGCAGACAAGATACTTGCCTCCGTAAATATTGACAAATATCGTCGTCACCCTCTCATCGCGCATGATGATCCCAAAGGCCTTCAGCATCGTCTCCTTGGTAGCCTGGCCCCCCGCGTCCAGGAAGTTGGCACTCCTACCCCCGTAGAGCCCAATGGCGTCGTTCGTCGCCATCGCCAGCCCGGCGCCGTTGACCACGTTGCCAATGTTGCCGTCCATGCGCACGTACACGATCCCGTACCTGGCCGCCTCGATCTCCTCGGGGACATCCTGGCTGACGTCGCGCAGCGCGAAGAGCTCCGGCTGGCGCCTGGCGGCGGCGTCGTCGAATGTGAATGCCGTGCTGAGGCAGGTGAAGCTGCCGTCGGTGGCGGTGCGTGCCAGCCGCGTGATCTCCAGGTTTGTGCCGTCCTTGTCCGTAAAGATTTTGAATAGGCCGTTGAGGATCCTGGCGAGGCTTGCGGTCGAGGATTGTGATGGCGGAGAGTTTCCTGTCATGTGTTTTGATACACGCGACAATAGTTCGGGAGTGATGCCCTGGGAAATGGCGAATGGGAAGGACGTGACTTCTGAGTCCACATCGGTCCCCTTGGTCTTGCTCACAAGAATGACGGGGAAATAGTTTTCACGGTCAATCGTCATCGCTAGTGACCACTCCTCCGTAGGCTCGAGTGCTTGAGATACATAAATTTCCTGCACTGGAGGGCGTTGACTGCCACTTGGCCCATTGTCTAGAATTTTGGATGCCGTTTGATACCCTTGGTCTGGAGTGTCCACGGATATTGGAGGGCTGGAAGCATTCTTCTGTAGACTGTGCAGTATTTGAGGGCTGATTATGCATTTGCCACCTATGAGGGTCCAAATCAGTTCACCATCCATTCCAAATCGTCAGGGAATCATTAGTTACCCAGTTCTTCGACCACCTTTCTCGCATCTTGGGCTGTCTGCACTATCTTCCCCGATGGTACTGGAACGTCATACTAGGGTGAGAGATGAGCCACAAGCTGGTCGTGGTGGATGGGTGGTGAGCTAGAAATGGCCAACCGAGTATCAATTGACATACTTTTTCTAACAAGCTTTGAGACTGGTACTCATGTAGGCTGAGCCATCTGGCCTGCTGTCTGGGAGCAAACTGGGACATGCGATGATTGGGTTAGTGACGTCGGGTTCACTACAAGGGGGCTTCATTTGGACCACGAACAGGAGCTGAGGGACCCAGAAGCCTGGCCGAGACCCTCCTGCAAACGGCCATGATTCTTCTCCAGCAGGCCGGACTGCGCGATGAATCCAGAAGGGGGTCGATGATACGAGTTGGTATCGCGAGTGACGAAGCCGCGGTACCCACTCCGGTCTCGCAGAGGGGGAAAAGCCGAGGCAATCACTACCAGTTAAGGTCGTAATGCCGTGGACTGACTGTTGATGCACCTCTGCGGCACTGGCCCCTGTTGATGGATGATCGAAGCATCAGACCAGCCACACTGAGCCACACCAACCCGCCACAAGCCACACATTATTGATGTCTGGTTGTTGACCCAAGACTGTTAGATTGAAGAAAGACAACTGTTTTATTAGAATAGACCTGAAATTATGAAAATGTGCAACGGCTGGGCATTTTAGCCATATTATTTCTTATGAGTACTATTGATGATGCCCTTTCGTGGCTCTGTAGACATCGTTGCGGCCACGGTGGCACCTTGATCCATCGCGGCCTCGATCCTGCCTGTTCACGACCTTGTTCCTGAACCTGAGATCCACAACTGGTCCGAATATCCATGTCGCTATCTATATTGAAGGAGATAAGATTTCTTATTGGCGCTACACGGGATGGCATCCCGATCGAACTATGGATAAGCCCTTCTTATGTGCTGTGGGTTGCCTTCCGACGAGCAGTATCAGAGTTGATAACAATGGCCCGATTGCTATCATCTAGGGCAATATTTGCAGGGTTCATATCCTGAAAGAGGGAGCGCCGAAGAATTATTATGATTGAGAGTAGTTTTGAAACTCTCGAGCCAGCCTTTTCTGATGTCATTGGCGAGGAACCGGCCTAGGTATCCAAGGTGCACTGCTTGATTGCACTGGGTCGCTCAGCTAGAAGTTGTTAATACGTGCCTCCAGGAGGTAGAATTCATTCGAATTCACGTAGCCATGATACTGTCTCAATGGGAATTTGCATTAACCTGCGAACGCTGACAAATATTAATCTCTTGACTACATGTAGTCGGTGCGCCCAGCTCAGCATGTAATCAAGAAAATAATTATAGCTTTTAGAGGATTACATTGCCATTCTGTGATGTAACGGTCCCTTTTGAAAATAGAGCTGTCCGTGGATCTTCTATTTCTATTCTTCAATAAGTTTAAGCTCTAAAACTTGGACGGGAACTCTCTGAGTATCTTGATAGCTGCGTGATGCTTCTCGATTGGCCTGAATACCAGATGATGTGAATTGAATAGAACTCTCTATAAATATCTACAATCTGTCTCCTCGGAGTTTTACCATGTCCTCCAAGATAATTTAATACGAAAAAGAAACGAAAAACATGGGAGACGCCAGAAGATGAGAGGAAAACATGAACAATCAGGTGCAGCAGCCAGAGGTCAAGAGACAGATGTAAATCGTGGTATGCTAGCCAGACCAGAGACTACCCACTATGAAACCTGTAGAGTAAAGGAGGCAGATTGACCAGAGAGAGGGACTTGCCACCCCCCACGGCTCTCCGTAAGTCCCGTCGCAGCCCAACTCTGCGCTCCCGTCGACTCGACCCAGACCACCACATTGTCCGTGCGAGGCGCGCCCTCCTGCTGTCCAACCGTGAACGAGACAGCCCCTCCTTCGGTATAGCTAAACTTCTCGATTGTTCCCGCGTCAATATTCACAAGCAGCTTCAACGGTCCGACGAAGACCCTCTTCCTCACGGCATCGCGCGGCTCAACCACCACCGAGCCGTCGTCTCCCTTGCTGAGAATACCCCCATAAGCTACGAGCCCAAAGTTCTCATCGTCAGCGACGTAGGTTCCCGAGCCGAGAGCCATGCCAAGAAACCCCGGACCGTAGTCGCCCGTGATCCCATCCCACTTCAGGGTGTTTGGCCACGAGTGGAACGCGGCGCTGGGGAATCCGTCCTGGTTGATGTTCGACAGCGGACCGGTCGACCCGCCGTAACCTACACGTAGGAGGTAGCTGTCGGACGGGTCGTCGCGGAACGCCGCGAGGAGGACCTGTGAGTTGAGGCCCGAGCCGTAGTGGTGAATCTGGCGCTCGATCCTCCCAAGCTTTGCGGCGTAGCTATGTCATGGTTAGCCCCTTTAGTCTCCATCCTGCTTGGTACGCGGCTCTCTTACACAAAGTCCCAGTATCGCCGGGCGTTGCCGTTCCATCCCCAGTGAGCGATGGCGGGCATGAAGCCAAGGACACTGTTGATGGTCTTGGTGACGGAATCGGTAAACCCGAAATATCTAACGTGGATGAACTGTTAGCTTGCCTTCTCTCCAATCCTCATGCTTTCACAAGGCCTTCTGTCACTCACTTGGTCCAATAGTAAACACCCTCCTGGCCAGTCGAGTCCCAGGCCATCTCGCTGCCGTACGGAATCTCCTGCGAGTGCCAAAGCTCCGCGCGCACCTTCATCGCCGCCTCAACGGCATTCGCCTCAGACGTCAGTCCCTCACGCTTCAGATCGGCCAGAATCTCCGCAAAGACAGTCTCGCCCATCAACCCGACATCATTATACCAGATATCGCTCTTCGTCATGCGGATAATCGTCCCCTGCGCATGCTCGAGATACCACTCCCAGTCCTTGGTCACGATGCTGGGATACGCACGCGCAACGCGATAAAGAGACCAGTACGCTGCGGCGACGTGCACGTAGTTGTACGCGCGGTCGATGTAGCCCGCCGACTCCTTGCTCCAGGACATCCAGGTGCCCCAGTTGATGCTCGGGTCGTACGGGTAGTTTGGCATGGCCGCCCTGTCGTAGTAGAAGATGGCCTTCTTGACCGCGTAGTCGCTCGACTGGACGCCGCCCCAGATGACGGAGCCGACGAAATCTTCTAGCTTGGAGACCTCCTCGGCGTCGGGCTGGAGGGCCTGCTTCACGAGCGCGGCGACGTAGGCCCCCGTGCCGCCCTCGTCGCTGAGACCCGCGACCCAGGCTCGCATGTCCTGCTCGACTATCGCGTGCTTCTCGTAGTCGTAGGTCATGACGGAGGGCGCGCGCTTGAAGGGGTCCGACGTGTCGTTGAAGTAGGCCTCCGTGGTCAGGAAGCTGCCGAGGTCTGCGAGGACGTCCGTGGTAGGCTTGGTGATGAAGTAGTGGACGGTCTGGGTCTTGCCGTCCTCGTACTTGATGGTGACGCGGACACGGCCCCAGGCTGAGGGGGATGCGGTCAGAGTATACTGCTTGTCGCCAGCCGAGGCGACTTCAAAGGCGCCGTCTGGAGAGGTGGTGATGGACGACACTGCCGACTCGCTCTTAAGCAGGAGCTGAGCAGGCAGGTCGCGTGGGATGATGAATCCAGGCACGCCAACCGCGACAGGCGTCCCGGTCTTGGCCACTGCATTGTCAATGTCGCGGACCTCCTCCGCGATGGAGAAGCGCACGCCAAACTTGGCCTCCTCGCCAGCCTTGAGCGTCTTCGAGGTGGGCGGGTTCCAGGGCTCCAGGCCCTTCCACTCATTGTCCGCATACGCCTTGGTCAAGACCTGCCACTCGTAGAACCCTTCAAACGTCTGGCTGCCGTAGTAGGTTTCCGAGTAGGATGTCTCGGCCAGGTTTCGGTACCCCTCCAAGGGCGAGCCGCTCAGAGGGGTGACGACGAGCGACTTGCCCGTCCCCCGGAGAGGGTTGACTCTGATGTATCCCGCGTCCAGACCGACGTACGGGTCAGACAGCGAGCACAGTTTCTGCATATCGGTTGCGAGTCGGTTGGTGAAGATGCTGTTAAACTCGGCGGGGAATCCGAGACTACCGATCTCGACGGTCTTATTCCCCGCATTCTTGACGGTGAATTGCAGGGCGAGATCCTCAGATACCTTGAGCCACTCTCGAGTGATTTCAAGAGGACCTGTAGGAAGCGTATTGGTCAGGCTGGAGGATGCCAGGACATCTCCGGTCGCGCCGTTGGCCGTCACCACCTTGCGGGAAGTGGAAGAGTCGGCACTGGTCCAGGCACTGCTGCCCTCCTGGCGGTATCTGAAGGTAACATCTCCCCAGTGATACTGAGCATTGCGTGCTCGAACCTTGAGCAAGTCAGAGGGCAGAAAGTCAAAGGAGTCGCCTGCAGGCCTTAGGGACGCGAGGATCTGGGCATCTTTGACGAGGCTAAACTCGAAGTTGGAGGTAGTGAAGTTGAGGTATCCGTTCGCCAGACCAAGATTATCTTGAGCGCAGGAAGTGCCTATGAGGGCGAAGAGGAGGGCCAGGCCCTTGAACATGTTTTGGGATGGCATGAGTTGAGTGTCTCCCCGCGGTTGTACTGAAATCGCGGGGCTTCTCAAACACGTCCCATCAGACGAACCCTGCCCTTTTATACGCAACCCAGGCCAAATGGTAACTCATGGCCTCATCAATTCAATGAGGATCCTCCCACCTACGACACCCCGGAAAATATCTATCGCGAGCCGTTGCCCGTTTGGCCATCATTTTCCATTTCAGCCGACTGACATAGAGGGTCTTGGCCTAATACGGGAGCTCACATGCAGTCGACAAAGCCTATTCGCACGCTTCAAACCCATTTCCACCGTCAGTATGGGGCCCGCATGATTGTTATCGTATTTCATCATCGACTCGGCCAGTGCCTGGATTCCGGCCATCCGATGTAACCAAAGGCCCCCTCCCGGGGTCTCATCCGTTCTTTAAGAATCGCTCGGGAACAGCCTCCGAGTCCGGGCTCGATTGGAGCGAAATTTGGGGGTTTTGCCTCATGAGGGTGTAGCAGAGGCGGCCTGCCTATTCGAGCAGGGGGGAGAAACGCGCCATTCAGACATTGCCAGATGCAGGTGTATCAGGAGCTGGGGGGTTTTAGCCGCTTCAGATGTCTCAGTTAGGAGTTGGTTTACGATGTGAGAGCCCCGTGCCGTTATTACCTGTTTTGAATTACAAGCGATCGATCAGTTAGTGGGGATAAAATGGACAGTGACCCCGTGGAGAGAGCGAAACCGCAGCTCGAGGTGTCTCAAGTAACCAACCATTGATTCTTCAAACCAGTTTGATTGTCTTCTCTGCAGTTTATTGCCCGGAATGGGCAAATTCAGCGTGCCGTCAGTGTTGGCACTTGTTGCTGCACCGTTCCTGGTGAATGGTATCGATTTCACCTCTCCCGGGAACCCAATTCTAGGAGATGGCTCCATCTACTCAGCCGATCCAGCTCCCTTTGTCGTTGGCAATCAGGTTTACATTCTGTCTGGCCGCGATGAGGCTGATTCCCAGACAAATGACTTCGTGATGAATGAGTGGCAGATCTTCCAGGCCACCAGCCCCAGCCCGGCAGGAGGCTCTTGGACACTACACGAAGACGTGGCCCAGCCAGAAGCATTGTTCTCATGGGCTATATCTGGAGGCGCATATGCCAGCCAGATTGTGCAAGGCGCCGATGGGAAGTTCTACCTCTACGCCTGCGCTCAACAGAGAAATGGCGCCTCCGACCCCTTCTCCATTGGAGTGGCCGTCTCTGATAGCCCGACTGGCCCCTTCAAAGATGCCCATCCTTCCGGGCCCATCATCTCGCAAACTGTGCCGTCACCAGGCAACTCCATCCACAACATTGACCCTACCGTCCTCGTTGACGGCGGGCGAGTGTTCCTCTACTGGGGTTCCTTCGGCAACCTGTATGGTTACGAGCTTGCCTCTGACATGACCACGGTTCTTGCAAACACCAAGGTCGTCGTCACATCTCTCACGGGCTACTTCGAAGCCCCATGGCTCATGAAGCGAGGCAGCACGTACTACATGCTCTACGCCGCCAACAACGCGGGGACGACCTCGGCCTGCACGCCAACCAGCTACCACGCCTGCATCGCCTACGGGACGGCCTCCAGCCCCCTCGGACCATGGACCTTCTCCGGTGTCATCCTCGGCGTCGTCTCCTCCACCACCTCCCACCCGGGCGTCTACACCCTCGGGAACCAGTCCTACCTCGTCTACCACACCGCCGACGCCGTCAACGGCGGCCACTTCCGCCGCAGCGTCGCCTTCGACCTCCTCACCTTCGACGACACCAAGTCCCCGCCGGCCATCAACAAGGTCGCCCAGACGAAGCGCGCCTCCCTCACCGCCCCGCGCCCGCCCAGCCGCAACGTCGCGCCCCTCGCCTCCTCGGCCGAGTCCGCCAACGGCACCCCCATCCAGTACTGGATCAGGGCCCTCAACGACGAGCGCCTCCTGCAGAACCCCCTGCCCCCGGACTACTGGTGCTCCTGGGCCGGCACCGCCTCCCCCAAGACCAACACGCTCACGTACACCTGGGGCAAGGACATGCAGCTCAACAGCGTCGCAATCTCCTTCTTCACCGACCAGCCCGCCGGGTCGAGCGTGGGAGTCCCACCGCCCGCGTCGTGGGTGGCCCAGTACCAGAACGCGGCGGGGGCCTGGGTCGACGTGAGCGTCACGAGCTCGGGGGGATACCCGACCGCGCCGACGCTGACGCCCGCAGAAGTTAAGTTCCAGACCGTGACGACGAGGAAGCTGAGGGTTGTGCTCCAGGGGTCTGGGGGGCCGAGTCAGTATGGTGCTGTGGGGATTCATGAGTGGTTTGCGTATAGCCCTACTGCGGTTTGAGGTTTGGGATTGTATGGAGTTTTGTAGGCAGTTGAATGAGATATGTTGTTTCTTCCACGGTTTATTTACAGTGAACTATTGAAAGTGTTCTGAAATATATACACTGTATGCAGTAGGAGGGAGATTTTGCCTCTACGCCCGCCATTTTATGGACTGAGCACATATTCGGCCACGTTGCCCTCCACACGCGGGTAGAACTCAAACGTAAAGGTGACGGGCTTGGCAAGGGAAACCACAAGATCAATCGCCGCCGACTTAATAATGACATTATCGCCTTCAAAGCTCCATTGTCCCTCCCAAGTCTATAACAATAATTAGCATATTCGAGAGCAGTAATGAGAATGAAGGGGGAGAGCTTACACCGCGGGCTTGTTGCAGCGGTCCCAGGTACTGAGTCCAGTCGTCGACGAGGTACGTGCCATCTTCGGCCACCATCTTGACAGTCGCAAGGCGCTCCAGGCCCTTCCACTCCACCGGGATGCTGAGGTCCGAGCCGGCCACCGCTTTGCTGCTGGTCGAGCCCAGGACCGGGACGTCCCACTGGACGAGCGTGACGGTGGACGACGCGCCGGCAGAGAAATGGAGCGTGAATGTTTCCTGCACACCGGCCGCGGATGACGCGTCGATGTACGACGAGATGATGCTGGACTTGAAGGTGATGGATGACGATCCGGCCGTATAATCGCTTCCAGCGAGCTCCTTCCCGTCGGCGGTGGTGATGGCCACGAGCGTGTTCCCGTTGAAGATGAATGGCAGCTCCTGGTCACTGACCGCCTCGCCAACACGGTGGAAGAGGAATGCGGAGGTAGACTGCTCGGTAGCCGACCCATCCACCGTACTATCAGCAAGGGAGTTGGAAACCCCGGCCGTAGAGCTGTTGATGATGCTCACGACTGTGGGATCGCGGAACTCGCCCGTCTCGCGATCGAGGTGGTCAAGACCGTTATCCCATACGGCCACGGTGGCGCCAATCTTGGTCGCCGCGCTCACAAAGTGGTCGTACCACTTCCACCTCGCCGCGCTCTCCGTGCTGCGCGGCGTGGCATCGAACTCGCCCACGTAGATGGGCACACCGCTGAAGTTGCCGCTGACGAGACCCAGCTCGCCATCCATGGTGGCCTTGTCGGCGTCCGAACCCCAGATGGTCCTCCCCCACGCGGAAAAGGCAAAGTCATACGGGCTGTAGTAGTGGATCTGCAGCGCCCAGGGATTCTTGACGTCGGCGGGCGGCTGGAACCACTGCGACGTCTTGGTGGCGTCGTTGTTGCCCCCGGCGAGGGTCACGACGCGCTGCGTGTTCCAGTCGCCGGTCTCGGCAATGGCCTCGAGGAAGACGCGGTTGAGCTCGTTGACCTGCGCGCCGTCCTCCGCCGTCGCCGCGGGAGGCTCGTTGATGCTCTCGAAGGCGACGGTGGACGGCTTGCAGGCCAGCTTTGTGCCAATCTGCGTCCACAGGGCGCGGAGCTTGGCCTGGATGGCCGTGATGTCGGCGCCGGCCTGGCTCACGTCGGCCCATTCCCACGAGTCGTGGTGGACGTTGGTCACGACGAGCAGGTCTCTCTCGAGGGCGAAGTCAATCACGTCGGACACGCGCTGCAGCCAGGCCGAGTCGACTTCGTAATCGGGCGCCTCGCTCGCGAAGTGGTGGGTGTAGGTCACGGGGATGCGGACGCTGTTGAAGCCGGCGGCCTTGACATGGTCAAACGTCGCCGCAACGACGGCAGGATTGTTCCAAGACCCCTCGTCGGGGATGGCGTCGAGGGTATTGCCAAGGTTCCAGGCTGGGTTCGCGGCCTTGAGGAAGTCGGCGGCCGAGAGGGCGTTGAAGGTGCCGTTGCATTGGGCCGATGTCTTGCATGCCCCCAATGCACAAACAAGGGCACCCGCGCTGCTGACTCGAAGCTTCATGGCTGATAGGAATGGGATTCGTCTTGCTGCACGAGGCGTTTATCGTTTGTCACGTTGCCTCGCGTATGAGAAATGGTTTATATGGCAAGACCGGAGACTCCCTGAGGAGCCCCCCGAAATGACGCCAGGAAAGCTGCATCACCTCAAACGCCTAACTTGGCGATCGCGAACAAGCCATGAGGACGCCTATTGATGGACGGAAAGACTCTTGTCTCCAAGAGGAGCGGAGGGCGTTCTACCGCTGCAATGACATGTTTAGCCTAACAAGAAACCAGCGCAAAGGAGAGGATGCTGGTCAGATTTTTCACTTGGCTGATGAAACGAGAAAGGATTTGCAGCCTTGCGTTTTGGATTGACCCCAGTAAAAAGCAACAGCCTCCGAATTACCTAATGTAGCATAAGTGACATCGAGGAGGTCATTTCGTTTGGTAAAACGACGAGATCGTCGTTGAGCAGCCAGCACGGGTCTTGGTTTCGCCTTTTAGCCAAGGACCGTTCATACTACGTCTGGACGATCCATCATGCCATTTGAATTGTCGCATTAGCAGGGCTTCCTTTTCCTGAGGCGATGATCTGATCTGATCTGCCTTCGGTCCATCATACGCCGGCGTGCAGTCGAAGGTGTAGGGTAGGCCAGATCTGGCGATGTTGACCAACTTCAGCTTTGGCTGTCGCTGCACGTTTCCACGGGCAGGCCGTTCATACGTAGAAACAAAAACCAGGTACTGTCGGATGCTCAATGCCTTGGTTTCCGTCTTGGCATACGGCATGATTCTGCAGGCGGCATGAATGCAGAAATGACGGCTCCACCTGGAGTGTTTTGCTTTTGGGAGGCGATTGTTTGGTTTGCAAGCAGCAGCGCCGCCACACCTCTGCCACAACCACAACCACCAGAACGCCACAGCGTAGCTTTTCTCTCCCTCTCTCGAGCCTCTCGAGCCTGCCTGTCCGCCGATGAAGAATTGATGAGATGCGCGCGTTTAGGCCGCATTCGACAAGTATCAACCTGCCCAGGATCCAATTCCCTCGCTGCATGACGTACTCAACCCGGGCAGCCTGAACGTCCCGCCTGATATTCCCGATGGCTGATTGTCTGCTGCATTGGGACTCGCCACCATCCCCATCACCATGCTTCACCTCGCAGATTGGATTATGCGTTGCTCACCAACAGAGATCCGATGTAGGCGGGCCGGCCGGGACTTAAGGCAAAGGCATGCATAATGCTTATGCAGTCACGTACATCACATATCTATGATGTCAAGAACGGTGGCTATATAATTCCGGTAATCTTGATGAGAATATGTATTCTTGAGATGAGATTATGTATTCTGGATGGCTTCTATATAATCACGAAAAGACGGCATCTTCTGGGTGTGATTTCCACTACAGTAGACAAGAAGAACCTGAACTCATAACGCACAATCATTTACCACTTCCAGCTCCTCAAAGCTTCAAGCAGTCACAATGCATTTCACCAAGACCCTCCTCTCCCTCCTCCCTACCTCCCTCACCCTCGCGAGCCCAACACCTCGCTCCGCCGGCTCCAAGTCCATGAGGGCCGACGAGCCTGAATGGATCATCGAATCTCTTAAGCGCGCCTGCAACGACGCTGATTCTCAGTGCGATTGGTCCTTCCGCATCAACACCCAGGCCGCCGATGCCACAGAGTGTGTCTACTCCGTCCAGGGCAGTCCGGCCTCCCACACCAACGGAGCCCTCGACCGCTGCGGCGTCTTTTCCATCCAATCTGGGTACAGCGACGTGTTTGGGGAAGACAACACATTCTCCACCTTGTCCATTTCCGACGACGCCCGGGAACTCATCATCTGGGCTTCGTACTCCGAGAAGCTGCTCGCGGGCGGCCAGGTCGTCTCGCCAGATCAGAGCTACTCCCCAATATTTATAGGTATCCCTTAATGGCCTGGACAAGATACGCGGCCACTGGATAATTGAACGCTGGACGATGGGAACGATGGGAGGAATGAGGGCATGGCGGCCAGTTCTTGTGTTCGGCGTGCTCCCAATACCCCTTTACCTTGTGTTGATGGCGGATCTAATGATAGATACGTAGTAAACATTGCACGTTGAACCGAAATGGGAAAGCAAATAATTAGACACATTGACCAGCACGTGCGCGCGAAAAAAAGAAGAAATAAATGCAAGTCAAATGAAAATGCATTGGTTCCTGTTGGACAGAAACGACACCTCACGTCTTTCTTGCTGACCCGTTGCCACGACTGTCCATCCACATGTTAGCTTTGGCAGTTCAAACGAAAAATCCGGACAGTAGTTCGCATGCACACGAGGCTTTTTCATGCTGGAATCACGAGCTCTTGTTGGCTATTGGGAATGATTACTGCTTCTCACTTGGATGCTGTCCTCCATGATGTGCTCCAGGAGGGGCGCACTTTTCTTGACGACAGTTTGAACTAGGGAAAAATGTCCGAAGCCTAGAGTAAAAGGCTAACCGACAAACTAGGGACCTACCGTTCGTGTAGTCTACGCTAGCAACGGCCAGCTAGAGAGTAGTGCGCGGAAGCTAGGGAGAGGTATGTACGCGTATGAGCTTCCCGTGCGGGTCAGCCCGAGATGGTCTGAATTCATCTCGTCTCTCAAGTGAGTGAGCTGTGCCCTCTCCGGCGTGGAGGAAAGGCGCAGATATGCAAAAAGCAGAGGAAATAAGATCACAAAGGCTGTTCACGGAAACGATATGCTGGAGCTGGTCGATGGGGTGGAGCGAGGTGTCTGACAAGAGGCCGGAGAGCCTCAAACCAGCCTCGGAGGCTGAAAGGAAGGGTGCGACTAGTGGGTGTTTTACACCTGTCATTTTGTATGGCAACGCTTGCGGCATGGTCTGATCGGCGGGTACTGTGCCGACGAGGCTCAAGTGTTAGGCTCGAGCCGAGTGAGACACCCGATTTCGGTATGAATGACCCGACACGGCCTTCTTCGCCCTGAGTGTGGTTACTCCTCTTGATACCCTGTTGACTGTCGTTTTCCGCACGGCGGACTCTATGCTCGTCTTGTTCGAGAAAGGGGAGACTGTTCTGGATATCGGGCTGTGAGATGAGGATGACGCTTAACTTGAGTGTTGTGCCCGTGTGGATGGTTGAAATCTCTGGACAATAATGGGCGGAGCACCAACGCCCATTGACGAAGGATATGAATAGCTCGTAGCGTCATTTGCCATCTTTTCTGTAGGGGCTGGAAAGCTTGTAGTTCAATGATCGCCCAACGTCTGACGCATAGGAAGGAATCAGCCGGACAGTATCCGTCTACGTAGATGGTGACGAGTCATGTTAGATCCGAAGGAAACTTTGCCCTCTCGCTACTGTGCTGGGCGGCGAATGAATGTTGCCCGGGAGATTAACCAAGACATGTCTCATAGGTCTGAGTGGCGATGGCCGAACGCGATGGTTCCTGAATGCAGAAGCTAAGAGTCGAGCTCGTCTCTAAGCTGCCAAGTCGTGACGAAATAATGCCCAATACCAAGGTGTCAGATGACTCGAGATCGTCCTAATCGGTGAGGTTGTATGTCATGGCCACAAAGGCCTGAGGTGAGAGTTTATAGATGCTGGGAACGGTAAATGTCTGTTGCCACTCTGCAGACGTGACCCGTAAAATGATTGTCTCACCCGGTAGCAGAGACTTTCAAAACATTTGCCAATTTCGGCCTAGAAGTGTTCCGTTCTCGATGCATTGTTCCATAGTTATCCGCAAAAAGCGTAATAAATACGGCATCCACACCGTTCATCTCAGACAATCGTCGGGAAGTTTTGCACCGGATCTCGGGAACTGTCTCCACCTTGCCCATGTCGAACCGTTCTGATGCTAAAAACGGCCAGTGAAGATCGTGGGGAAGGACGGCAGAATCTCTGCCCTGTCTTGAGGAATGGAAACCGGCGTTTGTGCCGTCAGTGGCTTTCCCAATTCGTTCCTAGGGTCGACATATCGGGCAATCTCACACAGTCGGAGCACTGATCAGGTGCGGCTCCGAACTGTCATGGACGCTTTGGAATGAGACATTGCCGAAGAGTGTTGCTCTAATGCAGAAGCACACTGAAGACGTTGAAGCTTCTGACCCGAATCAGGATGTCCAACAAGCTGGTGTGATATATAACAGAGCTGCCGAACTCAAGCGGCTTTGTTCTAGCAATCAAACCAATCTCTTGGCCCGAAACTAAAACGAATCTGTTCAGATCATTCAAGTCCAACAATTTGGCCAACCCACGACCATGGCCACAGGCATGCAATGGTGGAACCGGGCGGCGCTGCTGTCGCTCGCGTTGCCATCTGCAAATGCCTTCAACTTCCCTGGAAAAGACGACATTATTGTTGACTTTGACCTCAACCTCAGCCGATTATGGCGACGCCAAGAAAACAAGCCAGAATGCCCGGCATCAAATTTATGTATAGACGGGGCTTGCACCCAGTCCATTGTCGGCATCGACGCAGCAAACTGCGGCCGCAAAGGGTATGAATGTGAGCCAGGATATATCTGTGTCGCCGGAGAGTGCGTCCACCTCGACTTCCCCTGCGACTCGCTCCACTGCGGCGAGAAAGACCTGCAATGCAAGCCAGGTCAATGGTGTGACGAAGGCGAATGCGTCTCGATTGAGATCTTCGCAGACCCCTTACATTGTGGCCCCAAGAATGAAGAATGCAAGGCCAACCAGCTCTGTATCAACGGCATCTGCATTGAACTTGACACCATTCCCGACCCTCTACACTGCGGCAAGGACCAAACACCTTGCGGCCCTGGAAATTATTGCTTCAACGGCCAATGTAGGCCTTTCGATATCGGGACGATCCCACAGAATTGCACAATCGACAATGACTGTCCATTAAAAGCCCCTTGCGAGAAAGGAGTATGTCGATCCTTCCGCGCAGGGTTGGACGTTAACAATTGTGCTAAGAAAGACGATAAATGCGCTCCTGGTGAGCTCTGCATTTCCAACAGATGCACGCCGCTCAATATTACAGGCGACCCTCTTTCATGTGGCCCCGGCTGCCAAAAGTGCGAGCCCGGCCAAGCTTGTCGGTTTGACAAATGTGTCCCCATCATTATTAGTATAGACCCTACTCACTGTGGTGAGGGAGGTCCGCCTTGTGGCAACCAAGAGCTCTGCATATCTGGTGTCTGCGTGGATATGCGCAACCAGACCGAGTCCAACAAGCTCACCCGTTGCTCTTCTCCCACCAAGGTCTTCCCACCACTTAGTGTCTCCCCGGATGGACCACCGGTAGTAGGACCAGTCCCAGCACCAGGAGGTGGAGAACGCCCAGCTTCTGAACATGGTAACAAGCATAGCCCTGGTAGTGGTAACGTCTCTCCCCAACCTGGAAACCAGCCTAGCCCTGGCGGCGGCCACATTTCTCCTCAACCTGGGAACCGGCCTAGCCCTGGTGGCGACCACGTTTCTTCTGGATCTGAAAACTGGCCCAACCCTGGTGGCGAGCAGCCTTTTGTCGACGACTCTGCGCCCTGTGATGGAGACTGCCCCCCATCCACTGGCTATCCACCAGTACAAAATGACAATCATCCCGGACCTCGCCCTGGAGATGATTCCAGCGTTCAACCCGGATCATGCTCTGGGCAAAAGGACTGTAGCTGGAACCAAGTCTGCCGAAACGGAGCATGCGTGGTCAATGGTGGCCAACCTGGCTGCTTAAGTGACGGCGAATGCGGCCCTGGCAAGGTATGCAAGAACGGAACATGTGTGATCTCTGGTGGACAGCCTGGTTGTTTTATTGATATAGAGTGTGGCCCTGGTAAGGTGTGCAAGAATGGCGGATGCGTTGTCCCTGGTGGTCAGACAAGCTGCTCTCAAAATACAGACTGTGGTCCAGGCCACGTCTGTGTCAAGGGAGTGTGCGCTCCTTCAACTGGACCTTCCGGCTGTGTTAGCACAACCGACTGTCCTGAAGGATATGTCTGCAAAAAGGAACAATGCATCCCGTCTGTTGACGCCTGCCTGGCTGATGCTGACTGTGAGCCTCTCGAGGCTTGCGTCAATAGAACGTGCCAGCCTTCCACCATGCTTGCAAAGTGTTCCCTCGACTCCGAATGCTTCGCCGGTGAACTCTGCCGCGGCGGCAAGTGTGTTCCCTCCAACTTAGAGTCAAGCTGCACGAACGACTCTGACTGTACTGGTGATCGCATTTGCCGAAACGGCACTTGCTTCCCAACTGGAACCACCATCTGCTCAAGCAGCGCCGACTGCCGACCTGGCCACATTTGCCAAGGTGGCAACTGTATTCCTTCGACAAACCCCTCTAGCTGCACCGTCGACAATGATTGCGGTATTGGAGGGGTCTGCTGGGGCGGGACGTGTATGCTGGAGGATACCATTCCCATTATCTGTTCTAAAGACAACGACTGTGGCAATGGAAATGTGTGTAGAAACGGAAAATGCGTGCTACCGCCGAATATGTGCCAGGCTAGCACCGATTGCTCTTCCGAACAAGTTTGCAAGGAAGGGAAATGCGTCGTTCCACCAGATGTATGCCAGGCCGACTCCGACTGCGTATTCGGAAACGTTTGCAGAAATGAGAAATGCGTTGCCCAACTCCATTACTGCGAGATGGATCCCGATTGCCCATCCAACGAGATCTGCAACAATGGGATCTGTGCCCCTTCTACGACTCCTCAGACCTGCACGACAAGCAATGACTGCCCCTCTGGTCAAAACTGTCAGGACAGGAAATGCACCGTGCCAACCACATGCTTGAAGAGCGACGACTGTGCCCCCAACCAGGTTTGCAAAAACGGAATTTGCGTGCCGTCCACAACGCCACCTGGTGGAGGCTGCAAGAACGATGCCGACTGCCCTCCTAGCCATGCTTGCGAAGGTGGCTACTGCGTTCTTACCGACACACCAGGCTGTACCTTGGATGCTGACTGCGGTCAAGGCAAGAAGTGTCAAAACAGTGCATGCGTGCCGACATCGGGTTGCACCATCAGTGGTGACTGCCTTGGGCTTCAAATCGAAGGGAAGGTTTGTACAGGAAGCCTCTGTCTATGCATCAACAAAGTTTGTGTTTTTGGAACAGTGCCAAGTCCCGACTGTTCTGATGACTATGATTGTGGCATAGGCCAGTCGTGTATTAACGGGAAGTGCGATGTGCCTTCCGTGCCTTCATGCACCCAGGACATTGAATGTAGCAATGGCCAGTCATGCGTCAGTGGAAAATGCCAAATGTCGTCTGGGCCATCATGCACCCAGGACATTGACTGTGGCATCGGCCAGTCGTGTATCAACGAGAAGTGTAATGTGCCCTCCGTGCTTTTATGCACCCAGGACATTGACTGTGGCAATGGCCAGTCATGCGTTAATGGAAAATGCCAAACACCTTCTGGACCTGGATCATGCATGAATGACAATGACTGTGCCTTGGGCCTCTCGTGTATCCGTGGACAATGCGAAATACCCTCCGGGCCATCATGTACCAAGGACGATGATTGTACCAGCGGCCAGTCGTGTATCGAAGGCACATGCCAAACACCTTCTGGACCGGGATCATGCACAAACGACAATGACTGTGCCATGGGCCTCTCGTGTATCCGTGGACAATGCGAAATACCCTCCGGGCCACCGTGCACCAAGGACAATGACTGTATCAGCGGCCAGTCGTGTATCAATGGAAAATGTCAAATACCCTCTGGTCCTGGATCATGCACGGAGGATAATGACTGTGCCACGGGCTTCTCGTGTATCCGTGGAAGGTGTGAGACGCCGTCTGGTCCTGGATCTTGCACCAATGATAATGACTGCGCCAGGGGCCTCTCGTGTATCCGTGGAAAGTGTGAGATACCTCCTGGTCCCGGATCTTGCACCAGCGATAATGATTGTGGCAATGCCCAGTCCTGCATCAACGGAAAGTGTCAGACACCTTCTGGTCCTGCACCTTGCACCAACGATAATGATTGTGGCAATACGCAATCCTGCATCAACGGAAAGTGTCAAACACCTTCTGGACCCGGATCATGCACCAAGAACGAAGATTGCACCAATGGCCAATCATGCATCCGTGGAAAGTGCCAAACGCCTTCTGGACCGGAGCCATGCAACAAAGACGACGACTGTAGCGCGGGCCAATCCTGTATCCGAGGGAACTGTGAGACGCCTTCCGGCCCCGGGTCGTGTTCCAAGGACGGTGACTGTGGGAATGGCCAGTCATGTATCCGTGGAAAGTGTGAAGTGACTCCCGAAACTCCATGCGCCAAGGATTCTGACTGCCTCGGAGGTCTCGTTTGCAACCCCCTCGGATTTTGTGCTTCTCCCGCAACCTGCACCACGCGAGATGATTGCACTGGCGGGTTGATCTGCGGTCCAGCCAAGACTTGCGTCCCCGAGATTCTGCCTTGTCTAACACTTACAGACTGCAAGCCAGGTTTTGTTTGTGGTCCTGAGAGCCTCTGTATCCCGCGAACACCTCTCTGCGAGAGCAATGCCGACTGCGGTCCCGGATACACCTGCTCTCCACAAGGTGTCTGCTACATCAACCCAGGAGGCAACACCTGCGCGCGCAACTCGGATTGTGAAGATGGAACCGTCTGTGGGCCAGCCGGCACATGCATTCCAGGTACCCAGCCCACTTGCCAGTCTACCCAGGACTGTGCCAAAGGCCAGGTCTGCAGCTCGACGGGGTTCTGTGTCCCGGGAGGATCTCCTATGTGTCAATCAGATTCCAATTGCGGTATCGGCGACATCTGCGGTCCTCTTGGTATTTGTATCGATGTCAATTCTGGGTGCAAGAGCGATGATGAATGTGCAACTGGATACAGTTGTAGCCCAACTGGCTCATGCGTCCTTGAGAGTAACCAAACCTGCCAATCTGGTCTTGACTGTATGACTGGACAAATCTGCACCCCGACTGGTGTCTGTGTTCCGGAAGGTTTGCCTCTGTGCCTGTCTGATGCCATCTGTGGCGTTGGCCGCAAGTGCGGTCCGCTTGGAATCTGCATTGATAATCCTGCCGGCTGCAAGAATGACATTGACTGCGGAAGTGGCCTCACCTGCAGCCCAGCCGGTGCATGTGTCCCTAAAGGTAATGAATCGTGCCAATCGATCCGGGACTGCAAGGCTGGACAGGCATGCAGCTCAACTGGGGTTTGCGTTCCAGATGATTCGCCTCTCTGCCAGTCTAATGCCAACTGCGACTTCGGCCTCATCTGTGGTCCGCTTGGAATTTGTGTTCCCGGAGAGAATGGCTGTAGCTTCAACGAGGACTGTGGTCGAGGCTTCATCTGCGGTCCCACTAGGGTATGTGTTCCTGAGGGTCAAGACACTTGCAGAGTTGATCAAGATTGCGGCCCCAACCGTAAATGCAGCTCAACTGGCGCCTGTGTCCCTTCAGACTCTCCCCTTTGCCAGTCTAATGCCAACTGCGACTTTGGCCTCATCTGCGGCCCGCTCGGAATCTGCATCACAGTGAATAACGGCTGCAGCACCAATGATGACTGTCGACAAGGCTTTATCTGTGGCCCTGACAAGGTCTGTGTCCCTCGAGGTCAAGACACCTGCAGCGTTGACCAGGACTGCGGCAATGGTCGTGTCTGCAGCCCGACTGGCGCATGTGTCCCTACCGGCTCTCCAGTTTGTAGTTCGAGTGCCAATTGCGATGCTGGTTTCATCTGTGGCCCGGCCGGAATTTGCATCCCTGGAAACAACGATTGCACTCGCGACAGAGACTGTGGCGAAGGCTTTGTGTGCGGACCAATGAAGATGTGCGTCCCTCGAGGTAACGATGCCTGCAGATCCAACCAAGACTGCGGCGTCGGCCGTGTTTGCACCCCAAGTGGCATCTGCGTCCCGGATGGCTCACCGCTCTGCACTTCTGCTGCTAATTGCGGCCCCGGCCTTGTCTGTGGCCCTCTCGGCACTTGCGTTCCTGGTAGCAATACGTGCATCCTCAACATCGATTGTGAAACGGGATTCATTTGCGGTCCCGCGAAGGTTTGTATCCCTGGAGGTCAAGACACTTGCAAGTCTGATGAAGAATGCGGAACCGGGCGTTCTTGTAGCCCGGCAGGCGTCTGCGTCACATCCGGTTCTCCTGATTGTCGTTCCAACGCAAATTGTGCCCCCGGATTTGTCTGCGGACCGCTTGGTACGTGTATTCCAAATGATAATGGCAGCTGCACTCTGGATAGAGACTGTCAAGGTGGATATATCTGTGGCCCATCAAAGGTCTGTATCCCTTCTAATCCAGATGCCTGTGGCCCGACCCGGGATTGCAAGGCTGGACAAGTGTGCAGCTCTACCGGTGTCTGTGTTCCTAATGACTCTCCGCTCTGCGAAACAAACCGGCAGTGTGACTTCGGCCTCATCTGCGGACCACTTGGTACGTGTGTCCCAAATGAGAATGGTAGCTGCACTCTGGATAGAGACTGCCAGGGTGGATATATCTGCGGACCGCTCGGTACATGTGTCCCAGATACCAGCAGCAGCTGCACGCTCGACCAGGACTGCGCTGCTGGATTCATCTGCGGGCCTACCAAGAAGTGTATTCCGCGTGGTGAGCCTACATGTGGATCTGGACAGGTCTGCGGAGCTGGTCAAGTCTGTATCTCTACCGGAGTCTGTGTTCCAAATGGCTCTCCCCTATGTACAACAAACGAAAACTGTGACATCGGTCTCGTCTGTGGTCCCCTTGGAATCTGCATCACGGCAGGCGGCACCCGCTGCACAGTCAAAGATGACTGCCCGCCGCGTTTTGAATGTGGCCCAGCCGGAACCTGCATTCCCGAAGACGAAGGGTCTTGTCAGTCAAACGCAAACTGTGGCCCCGGTGAAGTGTGCGGACCGAATGGTATCTGCGTTCCGGACACCGGGTGCACCGAGAATAGCGACTGTGGCGTCGGATTCATCTGCGGCCCATCCAACGCGTGTATCCCCAAAGGCTCAGATACGTGCACTGCAGGTAGCGACTGTGGCATTGGTCGTGTGTGCAGCCCTGCCGGAGTCTGCGTTCCAGATGGCTCGACCTTGTGCCAGAAGGATAAGGACTGCGGAGTTGGCCAGGTGTGCGGGCCGTTTGGTATCTGTATCTCAGATACCACCAACAGCTGTACTTTGGACAAGGATTGCAACGCGGGCTTCGTCTGCGGACCAGCCAAGACGTGTGTTCCGGACACCGCGGGTACTTGTAGGGGAAATCGTGACTGCTCTGGAGGTCTCGTCTGCAGCCCTCTGGGGGTGTGCGTTCCACCAGGCTCACCACTTTGCCAGACTGACCAAAACTGCGACAAGGGCTTTGTCTGCGGCCCTCTAGGTACTTGTATCCCAGGAACCATCGATACTTGTACCGGCCCACAAGACTGCAACACCGGCTTTGTTTGCGGTCCCTCCGGTAACTGCATCCCACAGGGCCAACCAGGCTGCAGATCAAAAGCAGACTGCGGACCAGGGCTTGCTTGTAGCCCCAACGGGGTCTGTATCCCTGACGATTCGCCTTTCTGCAGAACGAATGACAATTGTGCTGTCGGTTTCATTTGTGGCCCGCTCGGAATCTGTATCGAAGATCCCTTGCTCTGCAGGGCCAACTCAGACTGCCGTGATGGGCTTGTTTGTGGTCCTCGGGGCATCTGCGTTCCTGGAGGAAGCACAGTTTGCACTCTTCCAAGCGATTGCACGATCGGCCTCATCTGTGGTCCTCTGGGAATTTGCATCGACGTTGGCTTTACGTGCACCACAAATGATAACTGCAATGGTGGACTTATTTGTGGCCCGAACGGATTCTGTATTTCTCCCACCTGCAACAACAACCGTGGCTGCCAGGAGGGATTCATTTGTGGTCCCGCCAATCTCTGTATCCCAGAGTTCGGAACCTGCCAAAAGGATCAAGACTGCCGGGCTGGTTTCACCTGTGGTGCCACTGGCATCTGTGTGCCTCTTCCTGAAGACTGTCAAGGTAATGGACAGTGTCCGGATGGTCTCATCTGTGGACCTTCCAACCAGTGTATCCCAGGCGGCGCTCTGTGTCAGCTTGATGCAAACTGCGGCACCGGATATTTCTGTGGCCCTGCGGGTTACTGTATACCCAAAGATCTCACTTGCCGAGACGATAGTACCTGCGCAGCTGGCCAGACCTGCGGTCCTTTGGGGCTCTGCGTTGCCGTTCCTGGTCTCACCTGCAACTCAAACGCCGATTGTGAGGCTGGATACACCTGTAGCGAAAGTAAGAAGTGCATACTGAACTTTTCCGGGTGCAGGACGGACAGCCAGTGCCCTGCGAACTTCACTTGTGGCGTTGGAGGTATTTGTCTCCCAAAGGTCGATATATGCCAAAGCAAAGAGGACTGTGACGCCGGGTTCCTCTGCGGGCCAACCGGCCTCTGTATTCCAGAAGTGGCACTTTGCAAGAAAAATGAAGACTGTGGCGCGGGCTTTGCCTGCAGTGTTGGTGGCCTCTGTCTTCCAGAGAGCCTTGGCTGCCAGACCAATGCAAACTGCGCTCCAGGATTCGTCTGTGGCCCTCTGGGGCTATGTACGGAACCCGTCACCCCTCTCTGCAAGACTGACGGCGAATGTGGCCAAGGCTACAAGTGTGGCACTTCTGGAATCTGCATCCCGGCTCTCCAAGGTTGCCAGAGTAATGCTGAATGTGGAAACAGTCTCATCTGCAGCTCTGCTGGCGTCTGCATCCCCGATTACAAGACCTGCCTATTTGACATAGACTGCGATAGCCAGTCGACATGCGGGCCAGCCGGACTCTGTATTCCCAAGTCAGTCCTCTGTCGCACTTCAAGCAGCTGCGGAGAGGGATTTTCTTGCGGCCCAGCTGGATTCTGCATCCCGAACAACAAGATTTGCCGAACAAATGCCAACTGTGGCAATGGGTTCATCTGCGGACCTTATGGGCTCTGCATTCCAGGTACCGGTCTCACATGCCAGATAGACAGCGATTGCGATATTGGCTTCACCTGTGGACCTCTCAAGCTGTGCATCAAGACCGGCCCAGCTTGTCAGAATAACAATCAGTGTCTCCCCGGCTTCAGCTGCAATCCCGCTGGAAACTGCGTCCCGAATGTTCCTGGAGGTTGCGCCAGCGATACGGATTGTGCCCCTGGCGACTTTTGTACTCTCGACCGCTCGTGTGAGCTAGAGGACCTGCGTTGCACGACCAGTGCCGACTGCAAACCCGGCTTTAGCTGCAACAGGGCTGGCTTCTGCTCTCCTAAGACTCTTGTCTGTAAGTCTGACCAGGAGTGCCCGTCTGGCTTCAAGTGCAGCCTGTCTGGGCAGTGTATATCCGCAAACGACCTGAGCTGCAACGTGGATGGTGATTGCCTTGTGGGATTTTCTTGTGGCCCCAACAAGTATTGTATCCCCAAGGCACCCAGCTGCACCAAGGACAACGACTGTCAGCTAGGATTTGCCTGTGGCCCTTTGAAGACTTGTATCCTGAAGAGCGATTTGACCTGCACGACGGGCAATGACTGCACGAACGGTTTCATTTGTGGCCCAGGAAAACTTTGCATCGACCCCTCTCTCCCTGGTCTTCCTTGCAAGGTTAACGGCGACTGCGCTCTTGGCTTGAGCTGTGGTCCAGCTGGATACTGTGTGCCCGGAGACATCTCAACCTGCAGCAAGAACGAGGACTGCGCACAGGGTTTGCTGTGCAGTGCGGCCAATCTCTGCATTACGCCCGACAAACAGTGCCAAGTCGACTCAGATTGCTCCGTTGGGGTCGGGTGTGGTCCGCTAAACATTTGCCTCGATGTCTATCTGGGCTGTCAGAGCAACGGTGACTGTGATACAAACTTTGTTTGCGGTCTCGCTGGTTTCTGCCTCCCCAAGGGATTTACTTGCGAGGCGGAGAAGGATTGCGCTGCAGGTTTCACCTGTGGCCTTGGTGGTCTCTGCCTTCCAGCTACCAAGGACACCTGCAACACTTCGGATGACTGTGACAAGGGCTTCACCTGTGGCCCTCTGAGCATCTGTATTCCTAATTTGCTCAGCTGTGGCAGCAATGGGGATTGTTCTCCAGGGTTTGCCTGCGGCCCAGCCGGCCTTTGCCTCCCAACTGGCGAACTGACTTGCTCCGCCACTCAAACATGTCCCCAGGGCTTTAACTGTGGACCTGCAGGTCTTTGCCTGCCTGATGATCTGCTCTGCCAGACTGATCGGGATTGCGCCTCTGGTTTTACATGCGGCAAGGGTGGCATCTGCATTCCCAAAGTCCTCACCTGTAAGCTGGACAAGGACTGTGATGTAGGCCTCAGATGTGGCCCGATTGGGCTTTGCATTACTATCGGGGAGTTAACCTGCAAGGAAAACGCAGAGTGTGGCGATGGCTTCATTTGCGGTTTGGCCGGACTCTGTATTCCCAAGAACTTGGGTTGCAATACAGACGCCAGTTGCCGCAGCGGATTTGTCTGCGGTCCAGCCGGGCTCTGTATTCCTCAAACACTTGGCTGCAAGACCAAGTCTGATTGCAACACCGGATTCAACTGTGGTCCCTTGGGACTTTGCGTCCCTGAGAACCTTGGGTGCAGGGCTAATTCAGACTGCACTGGAGGATTTGAGTGCAGCTCAATTGGAATATGCTTGCCTCCAAATTCCTCGGCCTGCAAAGCTAATAATGATTGCGGCCGAGGTTTCGTCTGTGGCAGCGCAGGGTTGTGCGTCCCAGAGGGCTTGGACTGCGGCAGTTCAAACTCCTGCAAGACTGGATTCATCTGTGGCCCAGCAGGCCTTTGTGTTCCGGACACGCTCTTCTGTTCCAAGAATGAGGATTGCGGTCAAGGCTTTGCGTGCTCAAGAGCGGGTCTTTGCATCCCGAACTACTTGGTCTGCAGTAGCGATAGCAATTGCTCCAACGGATTTGTCTGCAGCCTTTCCGGACTCTGTATTCCGTCCAACGATCTGCAGTGCACGACCAGCAACGACTGTGTTCCAGGATTCGCTTGCGGCACGGCTGGTCTCTGCATCCCCGATCTTAGCTGCAAGAAGAACAGCGATTGCTCTGGCGGTCAGGTATGTAGGCTGGATGGAACCTGCGTGCCTGATGTCGGGAATCTTGTGTGCTCCAAGAATGACGACTGCAAGCAGGGCAACGTCTGTGGTAGCGCAGGACTCTGTGTCCCAGGAAATCTTGTCTGCAACGCTTCACAGTCTTGCCAACAGGGCTTCACTTGTGGCCCGGCCGGATTTTGTATTCCAATTGGAAACCTCTTCTGCAAAGCCAACACTGACTGCCCGACTGACCACTCCTGTGGTCCGGTGGGCGTTTGCATTCCCAACATTCTTCGTTGCCAGACCAAGAGTGATTGCTATACTGGATTCGACTGTAGTGCATCCGGACTCTGTGTTCCGGCCTCGCTTTTCTGTACCAAGAACGAGGACTGCAAAGCCCCATTGGCTTGCGGCATTGCGAATTTGTGTGTTACTGTTGGCGATGCCCCCTGCAAGTCAAATGACGACTGCCTGGCTGGTTACCGCTGCGGTCCTGCAGGGACTTGCCTTCTGGAGGCTAACTTCTGTTCAAATGATGGTGACTGTGATGGAGGCGAAACATGTGGACCAGAATCCGTTTGTGTCCCGGATAAGCTTCTGTGCAAAGCGGATGATGATTGCATTGAAGGCTTCGTCTGCGGCACCGCAGGAATCTGTCTACCCGGCGGTGGTGTGACGTGCAACGCAAACACCAACTGCTCACCAGGCTTCACGTGCGGCCCTCTTGGTGTCTGCATCCCTTCCAACTTGGGTTGTCTGTCGAACAGCGACTGCGGCGCAGGGCTATCTTGCGGTCCTGCCGGGGTGTGTATTCCTGGCAATCTTCTTTGCCAAGGGGATGATAACTGCTCAACGGGCTACTTCTGCGGCCCGGCCGGTCTTTGTATCCCCAAGTTGCTCTCGTGCCAGAACAGCGATAGTTGCGAGAAAGGCCTTGTCTGCAGTCCGGCTGGGCTTTGCATCCCTTCAGGTGATTTGAACTGCAAATCGAGCCGTGATTGCTCCGGAAGTCTTATCTGTGACTTGTCTGGCCAATGCGTCCTAGGAGGCGGTTTAACTTGTCAGGCGGACATTGACTGTTTCCTTGGGTTCGAGTGCGGCCCTCTTGGGCTTTGCATCAAGATCGATCTTGGTTGCAAGACGGATGCCGACTGTGGCGAGGATAAGAGCTGTGGACCAGCCGGTCTCTGTCTACCAAAATCTGGCACATGCAAAGCCAACAGTGACTGCGCATCAGGTCTCCTCTGTGGCCTGGGTGGATTGTGCATTCCTGATCTTGGGCTCCCATGTGGTTCCAACGGGAACTGCGCCCCTGGTTTGGTCTGCAGCGGACAGCCGTTGAATCTCTGCATCCCTCAAGCTCTCAACTGCAAGGCCAATGAAAACTGCGGTGCCGGTCAGGTGTGCAATGCCCTCGGGGTATGCGTGCCAGATCTGCTTGGCACATGCACCACCAACGCGCAGTGTGAGGCCACATTTGGATGCAGTCTTGCGGGAATTTGCGTTCCTGGCATCGATCTTGCTTGCACAAATAGCGGTACGAGCGGCAGAATTTGTCCGACTGGTTTCAAGTGCGGCGTCACGGGTCTTTGCGTCCCGGATCTTGGATTCCCTTGCAGTGGTGCTGGGAAATCGTGCCCTCGCGGCTACGTCTGTGGTGTCGCAGACCTGTGCGTGCCCGACTTGCCGGGTGTGAATTGCATCCAGAATTCAGAATGCAACACGGGATTCGTCTGTAACAATGCCAAACTCTGCATCCCGGATCTGTCGCTGGCCTGCACGGCGGATGGTGATTGCCCAGCCGACTTCAGGTGTGGAAGCAGCAAATTGTGTGTGCCCAATTTCCCAGTCACGTGCGACGCCAACGCATCTTGCCCTCAGGGCTTCTCGTGCAACAGCGCAGGCATCTGCACTCCCACCTCTGGCTCCGGCTGCCAGTCTGACAACGATTGCCAAGAAGGAGAAGCAACTTGTGTTTCTGGATTCTGTGTTCCGGAAATCGTCACCACTTGCAAGGCCAATCAGGATTGTGCCTCGCCTCTTGTATGCACTCTAGGGCTCTGCCTTCCAGATCTCCTTCCCACGTGTGCTACCGACAGCCAATGTCCAAATCCCTTGGTTTGCCGATCAGGTACCTGCGTCCCTGACTCAGTTCCTATTTGCAATACCGACTTGAACTGTGCTCTGGGCACCAGCTGCCTTGGCGGTATTTGCATTCCCAAGGTTCCCAACACTTGCCGAGCGGATGGTGAATGCATCGCACCCTTGGCCTGTATCGAAGGCCTATGTCTTCCCAAGATCTTGCCAACATGTGATGGTACAGATGACTTGCAGTGCAAGGATCCGTTAGTATGCCGACGGGGAGTATGTGTCCCAGGTTCCCTTCCGCTATGCAGTGTCAACCTTGACTGTGCTCAAGACTACAGCTGCGTTGCCGATATCTGTATCCCTGACGTCATTGATGCTTGCCTCGTCGATCGTGATTGTCGCTACGACGCTCTGACATGTCAACTTGGACTTTGTCTTCCCAAGATTCTGCCGGCTTGCGAACGTAACAACCAGTGCAAGAACCCCTTGGTGTGCAGACAAGGTCTCTGTGTTCCAGATGCCCTCCCCGTCTGCAACGATGACCAAGATTGCGGAGCCGGGAACAGTTGCTTGGCGGGATTATGTATCCCCAAAGCCCCGGACACCTGCAGACTCGACACAGATTGCAAGTCAAACTCTCTCGCCTGCATCCTTGGTGTTTGTCTCCCGAAGGTACTTCCAATCTGCGATGCCACACGCGAATGCAAGGATCCGTTCGTCTGCAGGGATGGAATCTGCATCCCGAAATCTCTTCCAGTCTGCCAAAGTAGTTTACAATGCAGCAGTGGCAGCAAGTGTCTGGGAGGAATATGTGTCCCCGACCTAGTCAAGAATTGCCAGACCGTGCAAGACTGCGGCGCTTCCTCTACCTGTTTCCTCGGTGTCTGTCTTCCTGAGATACTTCCTGCTTGTGCAACTGACAACGAGTGCGAAGATCCTCTGGTCTGCCGGGTTGGAAAGTGTGTGCCCAAAACACTACCACTGTGCAATAGCAACACCAACTGCGACGCAGGATACAGCTGCCTGGCGGATATTTGCGTTCCAAACGTCCCGAGCATCTGCAAGATCAACGCTGACTGTAGCAACTCTCTGGTGTGCACCCTTGGTCTTTGCCTGCCTCAGATTCTGCCATCATGTGTGAACGATGATGGGTGCAACGACCCATTGGTCTGTCGTCAAGGCACTTGTGTTCCTAACGCTGTACCCCTTTGCAACAATAGCAATGATTGCGCTGGAGGGTCTAGCTGCATTGCTGATATTTGTGTCCCAGATCTCCTGCAGAATTGCAAGCAAGATACGGATTGCAGCGATTCCCTGGTGTGCAAGCTTGGTGTATGTCTACCAAGAATCCTGCCCACCTGCGACGGTAGCAATCCATGCAAAAATCCACTGTCATGCAAATCGGGTACTTGTGTGCCAGACACGCTACCTGTGTGTCAGAACGACGTTGACTGTGGCCAAGATGCCACATGCGTCGCTGGTATCTGCATTCCCAAGATAATCAATAACTGCAAGACCAACAGTGAATGCGGTGGTTCTCTTGCGTGCACCCTCGGTCTTTGCTTGCCACAGATTCTTCCGACATGTCAAGACGGAGCTGCCAACAGCTGCACCGATCCCCTCGTCTGTCGACTTGGAACTTGCGTGCCCAACTCTATCCCTCGATGTAGCAGCAACAATGACTGCGATACTAGTTCCAGTTGTATCGCTAATACCTGCATCCCCAACGTTGTCGACCCGTGCAAGACCACTGGTGACTGTGCGGGTTCGCTCGTCTGCAAACTCGGCGTTTGCCTTCCGGGAATCTTGCCAGTTTGCCAGACTGATAGCAACTGCGACGGCCAGCTTGTATGCAGACTGGGAACATGCGTGCCGAAAACTGTCCCTGTTTGCAGCAAGAACACCGACTGTGGTCAAGGCTCAAGCTGCATTGCCAACATCTGCGTTCCCGATCTTCTCCAGAGCTGCAAGGATTCCTCTCAATGCAAAGATTCACTGGTCTGCAAGCTTGGCGTGTGCCTCCCCAGCATCCTGCCTCAATGTCAAACAGATTCCGAGTGTGGCGACTCTCTTGCCTGCCGACTTGGGACATGCGTGCCCAAGTCTGTCCCAGTATGCAACAACGACGGCGACTGCGGTGCGGGCTCAAAGTGCATTGCTGATATTTGTATTCCCCAATTCATCACCACTTGTGGAAAGGACGCCGATTGCGGCGATTCACTCATCTGCAAGCTCGGAGTTTGCATTCCACCGATCCTACCAACATGCGATACACAATCGGACTGCAGAAGTCCTCTTCTTTGCCGCCTCGGCACCTGTGTGCCGGACTTCCTTCCATTGTGCAAGAGTGGCTCAGATTGCCGTGATGGATTCAGCTGCATTGCAGACATTTGCGTCCCTGATCTTGCCGCGACATGCCATACAACTCAGGACTGCGATGGCTCTCTGGTCTGCACGCTTGGTCTGTGCCTCCCTGGTATTCTTCCCTATTGTCAGACCGACACACAATGCACCGGCTCCCTTGTCTGCCGGTCTGGAACGTGTGTACCGAAAACGCTTCCTCTCTGCAATGTCAATAGCGATTGTGATCAAAATGCCAGCTGTCTCGCTGGAATCTGTGTTCCCAATCTGGTCCAAAGCTGCAAGGCTAACGGAGATTGTTCTGGCTCACTCGTCTGCACCCTCGGTGTCTGTCTTCCTCGCGTTCTTCCTACATGCGGAAATGGTGCCCAGTGCAAGGGCCCTCTAGTCTGCAAGCAAAATAAATGTGTACCCGACTTCGTCCTGTCTTGTGCCGAATCCCGCGATTGTAAGACGGGGTCAAGCTGCTTGGGCGGAATCTGTCTTCCCGACCTTGTCGATTCTTGTCGCGATACGGTGGATTGCCAAACGCCTCTTGTCTGCAACCTGGGCGTCTGCCTGCCGCAAGGCCTTGGACAATGCAGTACTAACATCGATTGCGTCGACGACCTTGTGTGCAAGTTGGGGACATGCTTACCAAGTACACTTCCTGTTTGCAAAGATTCGACTGGCTGCGGTCAGACGGAGACCTGCATCGCCGGCATCTGCATTCCCAATACTCCCGGAACCTGCAAATCCAAAGCCGACTGTGCCGGTTCTCTCGCCTGCACTCTTGGATTGTGTCTTCCTGAGATCCTCCCCACTTGCCAAGCTGATAACCAGTGCTCCGGCTCGCTTGTCTGCAGACAGAGCACTTGCGTTCCCGATTCCCTTCCCCTTTGCAATGTCAGCACTGACTGCAAGGGTCCTGGACTCAACTGCCTTGGAGGCATTTGTGTCCCTCAGACCATCAACAAGTGCCTATCTGACAGCGACTGCGGTAGCGGTTCGCTCAAGTGCAGCCTTGGCCTCTGCCTGCCCACTGTGCTCCCCCCATGCACCCAGGACAGCCAGTGCAGGGATCCCTTGAAGTGTAGGCTCGGACTTTGCGTTCCTCCTGCGATTCCCGTTTGCAACGTCAAAGCAGACTGCAGCACTGGAGACAGTTGCTTGGGCGGAATTTGTGTTCCTGACCTGGTTAGCAGCTGTACCCAAACCTCGGATTGTCCCAATTCCCTCTCGTGTACGCTTGGATTCTGTCTCCCTGAGATTCTCCCCAGTTGTGACAGCAATGATAAGTGCAGCGGCTCTTTGGTCTGTAAACTGGGCACCTGCGTGCCACCCGGTCTGCCTCTCTGCAAGACTGCTACCGACTGCGATGCAGATCAGAGTTGTTTTGGGGGACTCTGTTTCCCCAATGGCGCGAAGCAATGTCAAGCCTCGCTCGACTGCGGATCAGGCCTTGTCTGCAAGGCTGGGTTCTGTCTGCCAAATAACACTCCTACTTGCAGCGGCAATGGCCAATGCGCGAGCTCCCTTGTCTGCAGATTAGGTTTCTGTGTCCCAGATATCTTCCCCATCTGCTCCACGAAATCGGATTGTGCTGCTGGAAAGACTTGCAGCGACGGAGTGTGCATCCCAGCAGCCCTGCCAACTTGTCGGGCTTCGAGCGACTGCGCAAGCCCACTGGTCTGTACTCTGGGCTTCTGCCTCCCACCAGTTATCAACGACTGCAAGAACGGACAAGCTTGTGGAAGCGGATACACCTGCTCGCCCGCGGGCTTCTGTTTCCCCGAGACGCTCGCCACTTGCGCCAAGGCCACCGACTGTGGCCCCAATCTCACATGTAGTTCCAGCGGACTCTGTATCCCAAATCTTCTGCCCCAGTGCGATATTGCTGCCGGACTTACTTGCCAGGCGCCTCTTCAATGCACAGCTGGGCTTTGTCTTCCGCGATTCTCCAACTCTTGCAGTGCCAACGTCGATTGCGGTGCTGGTCTCGCCTGCGGCAGCCTCGGTCTTTGCGTAGCCGTGAGCATCAACACCTGCAGTAAGCCTGGTGATTGTGGCGATGGCCTGACCTGCGGCCCATTGGGTCTCTGTGTGCCAAGCTTGGTGCCTACTTGCAATGCGAACAAGCCCTGCCTCCCGGGCTACGCTTGCAGCATTGCTGGAGTCTGCGTCCCATCAAGTCTGCCGCCCTGCGATGCTAGCCAGACCTGCGCTTCTGGACTGGTTTGCGGTCTCGCTGGTCTGTGTCTCCCATCACTCCTCGACACATGCTCGAAAGATACGGACTGCGGCCCTAGATTCTCCTGCAACCCGTCCGGTTTCTGCGTGCCAAACCTGCTGCCAACAACATGTACCGCGCAGACAGATTGCGGCACCGGCTATACATGCGGAGCCCTGGGCTTCTGCGTACCCAACAACACTCCCCAGTACTGCCTGACGTCTCTTGAATGTCCTCCTAAATCCACTTGCGGTTCGGGCAGCATCTGCGTTCCTGACAGCTCAGCTTGCACGAAGAACGGAGATTGCGCAGCAAACCAAATCTGCACGGCGTTCGGATTCTGCGCCCCCAAGCTGATCAACACTTGCGGCCCCAGTGACCCTTGCGCTTCTGGCTTCTACTGCGGACCTGCTGGTCTCTGTGTCTCGAACAATGATCCCGTCAGCTGTGGAAGCGACTCCCGTTGCCCCAACGGCTTCATTTGTGGAATATCAGGCATCTGTACTCCCTCCACCATCCAAACATGCACAGGAACCAACGAGTGCCCTACTGGAAAGATTTGCAATGGTCTTGGCTTCTGCAGCACTGACTCCCCGAACGGCCAATGCACAAAGAGTTCTGACTGCCAACCTGGATTCGGGTGCGGATTCGGAGGAGAATGTGTGCCCTCGATTTTGGGTCCCTGCCTCAGCTCAACTGATTGCCAGACCGGTTCCATCTGCGGACCTCTTGGTTTCTGCACGGCGAATCTCGCCAAATGCTCCGCATCCCAAGACTGCAATGCTGGATTCAGCTGTGGACCAGTAGGGCTCTGTGTCCCAGACATTCTGCCCACCTGTGAGTCTACAAGCAGTTGCGCGCCGAACTTTGTATGTGGTCTCGCCGGCATCTGTATCCCCAAGGTCGTCCAGAAGTGCGACGAAAACACACAGTGCCAGCCAGGATACATTTGCGGCAGCGGCGGCAGCTGTATCGTGAACATCCCTGGTCTCTGCACCACCAAGGCCCAGTGTGGCGCTGGTTACATCTGCGGACCGGGCGGTCTCTGCATTCCCAATGTTTCCGGAACCTGCGAGGCTACGGACGATTGTCTCCTGGGATTCATCTGCGGCGCTTCAGGCCGTTGCGTGGCACAGCTTCCTGGCCGATGCAAGTCCGACACCGACTGCACCGGCGGATTGTTCTGCAGCGCAGCAGGCACTTGCATTCCCAAGCTCACAGGATCCTGCTCCTCTAGTACAGACTGCGATACGGGCCTTGTCTGTGGCTCTACCGGCTTGTGTGTGCCCAAGATTCTCCCCATCTGTGGTACAAACGCCGACTGCGGCCCAGGACTCCTCTGCGGCATTGCTGGGCTCTGTGTTCCCCAGATTGGAGTGACCTGCAGCTCTTCCAACCCCTGCGGCGCTGGATTCCTCTGCGGTATTGGAGGTATCTGTGTCCCTGACATTCCCGGAGCATGCACATCAAACAACAACTGCCAGAACGACTACACCTGCGGGCTTCTTGGTCTTTGCATCCCGCCGGGGCTCGATACATGCACAACATCGACAGACTGTGGCACCGGACGCATCTGCGGCATCGCTGGGATCTGTGTCATCAAGGCTCCTGGAGCCTGCGGTTCGACAAATGACTGTGGAAGCGGGCTTCTTTGCGGCATCGGTGGCTTCTGTATTCCTCAGTTGAGCCCTCCATGCGGCTCAGCCAGTGACTGCAAGGCCGGCGAGATATGCTCGGCCTCGGGGCTTTGCATCCGCGATATTCTCGGCAAATGCACTTCAAACAACGATTGTCTGCGAGGATTCTCGTGTGGAGGCAGCGGCTTCTGCGTTCCCGATATCCTGGGCACTTGCTCCAGCTCCCAGCCATGCCCTTCAGGATTCGTTTGCTCCAAGGCAGGCCTCTGTGTGCCTGACAACCTGGGTCTCTGTACAGACAGCAAGAACTGTGAGAGTGGATATGAGTGCACATCCGCAGGAATATGTCTTCCAGGCACTGCGGGCCTGTGCAGCTCGAACAATGACTGCTCACCTGGTCTCGCCTGCGGCCCTGCCGGCATCTGCTTGCCAGACCTCAGCCTCCAGTGCAGGTCTAACAGCCAGTGTCTTCCTGGATTCCGCTGTGGTCCTTCTGGGGTCTGCATCGTCGACCTCCAGCTCTCTTGCCAGACAAACAGCAACTGTCCCCTTGCGGGATTCATCTGTGGCAGCCTCGGCTTCTGCCTTCCGGACCCCAAACTTGCCTGCACAACGAATAGCGAATGCGGGCAAGGAAAGTTCTGCAACCTCGCTGGAATCTGTACCGCGAAGCTCGGCCTCAACTGCAAATCCAATGACCAGTGTATCGACGGCTTCCAGTGCAGCGATCGCGGTCTCTGCATCCCCGCCACCAGTGAGCAGTGCGCTACATCGGCCGAGTGTGATCGCGGGTACATTTGCGACGATTTCAACATCTGTAGTCTTTCTCTCGACCTCATCTGCAAGACCAACGCGGACTGTAACGCCGGATTCGCATGCGGCCTGGCCGGAATCTGCACACCTGATCTTAGTGTGTCCAAATGCTCTGCAGCCAGCGACTGCCAGCGTGGATTCATCTGCCGTCTCTCTGGAATATGCACACCGGACCTCAACTTCGGATGCTCAAATAACCAGGATTGTCAGAACGGATTCACCTGTGGGCTCGGGGGTCTCTGCATCCCTGGACTCGGCCTCGTCTGTACGCAAAAGAGTGACTGCGCCCAGGGCTTCCTCTGCAGCCAATCTGGCCTCTGTGCTCCGGATCTCAGCGTCAAGTGTACTTCCAACGGCAACTGTCTCGGCAACTACATTTGCGGTGACGGTGGCATCTGCGTGCCCGACCTCAACCTCTTCTGCTCCAAGAACGCCGACTGCGGGCCTGGTTCGATCTGCGGCTTCGGCGGACTCTGCATTCCCAACCTTGGATTCGGCTGTGGAAGCAGCAGTGAATGCCAGCCAGGATTCGCCTGTGGCCCTCTGAATGTCTGCGCGCCAACCTTGAACTTCTCCTGCACGAGCGACAGCAGCTGCCAGCAAGGATACGTCTGCGGCGACTTGGGTGTCTGCACGATCGACCCGAAGCTCAAGTGCGGTGCCTCTTCGGACTGTCGCCGCGGCTTCGTCTGCAATGGCCTCGGAATCTGTACCCCCGAGATTGGTCTTGCCTGCAAGGCCAACAGCGAGTGTCTTCCCGGTTTCGTCTGTGGCAATGGCGGCACCTGCCAGCTCGGATGTGCCAGCAACACGGATTGCGACCAGGACAAGGTCTGCAACATCGCAGGACTGTGCCTCGAGGTAAACTTGAGCGTCTGTCTGTCGATCAATGCCTGCCCCGAAGGCTACACCTGTAGTCTGGGTGGCCAGTGTGTCCCCCGTTTGATCCCGCAGTGTACGAGCAATAACGACTGCCTCGGTGGTCTTATTTGCAGTGGCAGCATCGGCAGCTGTGTGCAGAGCATCTTCCCAACTTGCAAAGGTGGCCAGACATGCCCCAGTGGATATGTCTGCCAGGGAGCTGGTATCTGTGTCCCTGATCTCATCTCAGGCTGCAGCTCCAGCACACAATGCGGAGCTGGATTCACATGCAACAGCAACGGAATCTGCATCCCATCGCTTGGGCAAGGATGCAAGGCCAACGGCGACTGTGGAAACGGGCTCGTCTGCGGCATCGGTGGTCTTTGCGTTGTCAAGACTGACATCACCTGCAGCCCAGCCAACCCTTGCGCAGCTGGTTTCTCGTGCAGCGACGCCGGCCTCTGTCTGCCCAATCTCACATGCGACAGAGACAGTGACTGCTTCAGCGGCTTCTTTTGCCCGGAGAATGGCTTCTGCACTCCCGACCTTGGCTCTTGCTCTTCCGCCAATGCCTGTCCCCTAGGCTTTGTCTGCACCTCATCAGGCAGGTGTGAGTTTGATCTCGGCCTGCGATGCGAATCAGACGACAACTGCGCTTCGGGATATACTTGCAGCGACGCCAACATCTGCGTTCCGTCGGGTCTGAAGTGTACAACTACGGCCCAGTGCAAGCCCGGATCTGTTTGCAACAACCTTGGTATCTGCACTCCGGATCTCGGATTCTTCTGCAAGGCTACGCCGGATTGCAGCACCAACTATATCTGCAACCCGGCTGGCGTTTGCGTGCTTGATCTCACTCTCAAGTGCTCAAGTAATAGTGACTGTGCTCCTGGATTTTCATGTGGCAGCGACGATGTCTGCGCTCTCGATCTTGGTTTGACGTGTGGAGCGAACGGGGACTGTGGTCAAGGATTTATTTGTAGCGAACTTGGTATCTGCATTCTTGATATCAATCTGAAATGTGGAGGAAACGGCGACTGCGGTGCTGGATTTATTTGCAGTGATTTTGGGTTCTGCATTCCCGGTGGTCAGGGGTGCAGTGTCAACGAAGAATGTAAAGGAGGTTTCATCTGCAGCTCTTTCGGAGTCTGCGTCGCCGGCGGCATCCTCTGCGATGTCTCCAGCAAGTGCCAGACCGGCTTCTCCTGCAGCTCGGCCGGGCTTTGCCTGCCAAACGGCCTGAGCTGCGCGACGTCGGACCAGTGTGAAGACCCCTTCACCTGCAACTCGCTCGGCCTCTGCGTGCCTGGAGGCGTCAAGTGCAGGAGGTCGAGTGATTGCAACACCGGGTTTGAGTGTACGTCTGGCGGTGTCTGTGTGCTAGGAAACTTTGTCTGCAAGCTGGGAAGCGACTGTGCACCCAACTACAGCTGCTCCCTGGCTGGCATCTGCGTGCCCAACATTGGGGCATCTTGCAAGAATGACGGAGAGTGCAGCCTGCAAAACTACTTCTGCAGCTCCGCGGGCATCTGTGTGCCCAAGTCAGGCTCAGGTTGCACGGCCAAGTCTGACTGCCTGCCTGGTCTCGTGTGTGGCGACCTGGGCGTGTGTGTTCCGGATATCAACATCGGCTGCAAGGCCAAGACGGACTGCGGCGCCGGATTCACGTGCAACAACTTGGGCATCTGCGTTATTGATCTGGGGCTCAGCTGTACTAAGAACGCTGACTGCCAGAATGGCAATATCTGCAGCATTCTAGGTACTTGTGTCCCCAGCACGCTGCCAGAGTGCAATGCCTCCAATCCATGCCGGCAAGGCTTCACCTGTAACGATGACGGTGTCTGCATCCGTGATCTCCTCAGCACTTGTATCGACAACACAAGCTGTACTCTGGGCTTCAGCTGTGATCCACTGGTGAAGAAGTGTCTGCCAGACCTGGTTCCCACGTGCTCGGCGACAAAGACTTGTCCATCAGGCTACAGATGCACCGATCCAACCGTCGGTCTCTGTGTCCCCGAGGTCCCAGTATCCTGCACAATAGACTCCAACTGTCCGACCGGGCTCAAGTGCCTTGACGGTGGCTTCTGCGTCCTCGATATCTTCCCTAGTATTTGTCAAACCGCCACCAACTGCAAGACTGGGGAGCTTTGCAACGGCGGCTTCTGCCAAGCTGCTCCCCAAGCGACATGCTCAGCCAGCGGCGACTGTACTCTCAAGACTGGTCTCTGTGCTTTGGGTCTCTGCGTCTGTATCAACGGTCTCTGTGCCACCGATCCGTCAGTCCAGGCCTGCAACACGGAGTCGGACTGCCCAGCAAACAGCCTTTGCCAGAGCGGCGCCTGTATTCCACGAACAACATGCTCTGCCTCTGACAACTGCATTGCCAATGTCAATCTGTGCGCTCTCGGCACCCTGTGTCTTTGCGTCAATGGACTGTGCCTTCTGGGAGGCGAGCCTTCCATCACCTGCAGTGTCAACAACCCGAACGACTGCGGCAACGATAGAGTCTGCGTCAACGGCATCTGCAACCCCAAAACCGTTGCCCAGTGCAAGGCCAGCGACGAATGCCTGGGCGACCTCATTTGCGACCTGGGGCTTTGCATCCCCAACATCCTCCCCCAGTGTCTGCTTGACCTCAACTGCAACGACAGCACCAAGGTCTGCCAGCTTGGCCAGTGTGTCGCTGGCTGTTCAAGCGGCTCCGATTGCCCCAGCGGCAACAGCTGCACTCTTGGACGCTGCGTTCCAGAGATCATCCCTACGTGCGACAACAACGATGCCAACTGCCCCAGCGGCCAGGTCTGCGGCGCCCTCAACACCTGTGTCCCTGGCTGCCACACAACCACCCAGTGCGCGCCCGGAGAGGTCTGCAACACTCTTCTCAATGCTTGTCTCCCTGGCACTCTTGCATGCGGAGTGCTCTCGCCTTGTCCAGCTGGCGAGTACTGCTCCAGCGGAACTTGCATCCCACGCTGCATATCCAACACGGACTGCGATCTCGGTCTCATCTGTGGTTCCGGCGGTCTTTGTGGAGCTTGTACTTCCAACTCACAGTGTGCTCCCGGGCAGGTATGCCAGGATGGAGGGTGCCGGGCCTGCTCAGCCAGCGACGAGTGTGCCATCGGCGAAGTCTGCAGCAACGGCTCTTGCGGCGCTTGCTCGACCACTGCTCCATGCTCGGGCGGTAAAGTCTGTGTAAACGGCTCCTGCAGTTCATGTTCTTCCACCTCTCAGTGCCCGGCAGGCCAAGTCTGCTCGGTCCTGGGTGCTTGTGGCCCTTGTCTTACGGACGGACAATGTCCCGGTGGCCAGATATGCCGGAACCAACAGTGCACGGGATGTACGAGCAATTCCCAGTGCTCCGGCGCCAAAGCTTGCATCAACGGATCCTGCTCCTCGTGCCGCGACTTCTCAGACTGCAACACGGGTCAGATTTGCGCCGGCGGTTTCTGCATTGCCTGCGTCCTGTCCCTTGACTGTCCAAACGGCCAGATCTGCTCTGGCCTCCCGGGAGCTTGTGGTGCCTGCTCAAGTACATCACAGTGCCCCATTGGCAAGGTTTGCCAGAATGGGGCATGCGTGGGCTGCTCCGATAGATCTCAGTGTTCCGGCGGGCTCGTCTGCTCAGGAGGGCTGTGTGGCACATGTAGTGACAGCTCTCAGTGCAGTGACGGAGAAGTCTGCGGCCCTCTTTCAGTGTGTACCGGATGTACTTTATCTTCTCAGTGCTCGGGTGGCCAGGTATGCCGGGGTGGAAAGTGTACCACTTGTCAAAACAACTCGGACTGTTCCGGCGGCAGGATCTGCTCTTCAAGCGGCCTCTGCTCCGCCTGCTCTTCGAACAGCGAGTGCGGCAGTACGCAGGCCTGCAACAACGGCGTCTGCGGCATCTGCACCTCAAACAGTATGTGCAACCCAGGCCAGGTATGCTCGCTTCTCGGTGCCTGTGGCCAATGCCAGAACAACGGGCAGTGCGACCCCGGACAGGTCTGTCAGAACGGATCGTGTTCTGCATGCTCAAGGACCTCGCAGTGCGCGACTGGCCAGGCATGTGTCAACGGCAAGTGTGCCTCCTGCACAGACAGCGACCAGTGCAACACCGGGCAGATCTGTGCCCTCGGGCAATGCTCCGTCTGCACGGCCAACAACCAGTGCCCTACGGGACAAGTCTGCTCAGATGGCAGCTGTGCCGCCTGCACTGCCAGTTCACAATGCTACAACGGCCAGGTCTGCAAGGGTGGGACATGTACAAGCTGCAGCGGCACCGCAGACTGCTCTAACGGCCAAGTCTGCCGCAACAACATCTGCACGACGTGTACCAGCCGAGACCAGTGTCTCAACGGCCAGATCTGCAATCTCCTCTTCGGCACGTGCGGTGCCTGCACCTTCAGCAGCGAATGTGCAACCGGTCAAGTGTGCTCGAATGGAGCCTGCGGCCAATGCTCTCAAAACTCCCAATGTCCTTCAGGTCAAGCCTGTGTATCGGGCGTGTGCAAAGCATGCACGTCCCCTGACCAGTGCGATTCCAACTACTGCTCGAACGGTAGATGCACAGCTTGCCTCACCAACAGCAACTGTGCAACTGGCGAGGCATGCGTCGACAACAAGTGCGGCCAATGCTCGTCAAACAACGACTGCTCGAGCGGCCAAGCATGCGTCAACGGCGTCTGCGGCTCCTGCTCAAGCAAGTCCCAGTGCGGCTCCAGCCAGGCCTGCGTCAACGGCTCCTGTGGTGTCTGCACCAGGGCCAGCCAGTGCGACCCGGGGCAAGGATGCAGCTTCTTTGGATCCTGCGGAGCTTGCACGCTCAACTTAGACTGCGGCACCAACCGGACATGCCGAGCAGCGACCGGAATCTGCTACAACAACTGCAGCTCGAACACCGACTGTCTCGCCGGCCAGTCCTGCCAGTCTGGCGTCTGCGGGCCGAGCTGCACGGCCAACTCGCAGTGCGCGACCAACCAGGTCTGCAACACGGGCACGGGGCAGTGCGTTGCGAAGCAATGCGGCACCAGCGGTGATTGCTCGCTTGGTGTCAACCTCTGTCTATTTGGTGGCCTTTGCGTATGTCTGAATGGATTATGTGTTGCGTAAAGAATATGAGGAGTTTGTTCGATTTTCATTGTTTTTCTTTTTCCTGTTTGGCAATTCTTGAATTATGAGAAAATATGAGGTCTTTCATGTATTTTTTGTTTCTGTCTCTGGAATTTCTAGAATTATTATTCCCTTTGTCTGGTCTAGCATCAAATATACGGGTTGCTAGCGATTGGAGTTGGTCATGGAATCATTTGGAGTTATATACCACACATAGGTTTCGCTCTTAGGCGCTTGATATCTAGAAGAATTTGATTTTTGTACATCTAAGAGGTTCCATTGCTATGACCTGTGAATACTCTGATGCACGCCGAGATTCGTAAAAACTGTTCTCAGATCTTAAATCCTTGGATCAGCTCGTTGATGGTGCTGCTGAGCTGTTCTGGCTGGGACAGAAAGGGGCTGTGGCCAGTGTCCAGCTCGCGAGTCTCCCAAGTAACACCGCTGCTCTCAATCATGTGGTTTTGGAACATGATGGGGATGGGAGTATCCTTTAGACATTTGATGTAGGCTCTGCATCCGCCATACGACGCCTCGCGGTAGCCATATTCCTCGATGTCAGTCAACAACGCGCTCAGCGAATGGGGCTTGAGGGTTGAGAGTGTAGCCTTGGCCATCTCCTCGTCCACGTCTCCATAGAAGAACTCGAGGTCTTCCCGTGGGTAGATTAGATCCTCTTCGATCTATGTCCAAAGGGTTAGCCATTTGCGTTGGTGGAAGGAAGAAGTATCTAACATTGATTGAACCGAATGTGCCCAACCCTTGGATCTTTGCCTCACGTTCCACGGCGCCAAAGCCTGCGCTTGAGAAAAGATAGGATGTCACATAGATGATCCCAACAAGTCCGCCCGGTTGGCCCTTGGCCTTGCGATCCTTTACATGCAGCTGCTTGATGGCCGGTGCGGCCGGTGTGCCTGCGTACGAGTGAACGACGAGGATAACCCGGCGATCCTTCTGGAAGAGAGGTTCCAGAATCTCATCGCGGATGTAGGCTGCGTCGTCCTGGACTGTGACGTGCGGCACGCCCACGCTCTTGACGGTGTGCGCGTAGGTGGTGTATCCCTTAGCGGTCAGGAGGGGGACGACCTTGTCCAGGCAGTTGGCTGAGTGCCAGGCACCAGGGAGAAAGACAATGTCGGGTTTGGAGGCCATGGTGATGGTACTTGGGAAGACGGTTGGGATCTTTCAGGTTGGCTGAAGCGAGGCTTTCTTGCCTCTTTATATTAATTGGCGGGGCTATGACCTGTTAGTTGGAAGAGATGGGATGACTGACTTGGTTCGCGTCATATTTCCACATCCAGACAATAGATGTTTTGTACGTGTAAGCCCACAGGGATAATTGCATAGATGGGGAGCGCTTCAATGCTGATATTTCCGGAAGTCCGGAAGCCAACTCAAGGGTCTTGCTGCAAACCAGAACATAAACTATGAGACTGAGCTGGAAGCGTAGCATGTGAGGTCGTAGCACTCTTGATCTGGCGGAGGAATCTTTGGCTTTCTTCAACGCAATCAAGGATCAGGGTCCCATAATTGGTAAGAGCTAAAAAGCAGCGGCGGTTTGCTGCCTTATTCGGACTTGCACCCACAACTAAGCATGATTCATTACGAAACAGGCAATTAATATGCCATGGAGTTGCCCTTGGTACTCTCTCGAGAGTCCAAGTTTCTCGTTTGATACCCCAACGCAATGCCAAGTCCGGTTGGCCTGAGTTTGAGTGCTTTCGGGATCACCCGTGTAAAGGATTGCCGGGTGATAGAAGAACACAGTTGGTTCTGCAATACGAATTTATTACACATTTACACCACATCACCATGATGAAGCTGGCCTAGCCTATAGACCAGCCGGTTCTACTAAAATGTCAGCTTAACCACCGAGAGAGAGAGCAGGGAAGGAAGTGTAGAACGTCAAAGCCACCAATATTGAACTTGGAGACAATGTCAAAACACAGCAATTCGAGTCGTGTATTATAGCATATTGTATCGTTTTATGATTCACTGTGTTCAATTGAAGAGTATGTCTCCAGCTTACATCAAGAGTCTTGGTGTGCTCTGTTTTATTTCAGTCACCTAAGAGAATATCAGCAACGTGCAATGGCCTCAATGTATACAAACACATAGCCTAGTCTATCGGCTCAGACGGATGATAAAAGTATCATATCGTAGGGCTTTAGATGTGGAAAGATTGGAGATTCCGCAACTCCGTCTCCACCCCTGAACCTTCGGAGTCGTTATTACCAATCTAGGCTTGCTGCCATGGCGTCATCTCCAGTCATCAACTCTGCTCTGCAGACAAATCACCAGTAGCCGGGAATTGCCTGATACGGGTCTCGGTTCAATCATAAAAGTCGAACTGCTTCACTCCCCTTTGCTGTGAAGAATCTACAGTTCCATCTGCTCGCATCTGCTCAGGAACAGAGCAAACTTGGAACATCGATCACCATGAAGACAATCGGCATATTCCCCGCAGCGGGGGGCCTCGGCGGCAGCACGTACAACCATCTTCTCCAGCATCCGGAGGTGCAGCCTGACAAGGTCACCCTGATCAGTCGAAGCCCAAGCAAGATCCCAGCTTCATACAGTGCCAGGGGTGTTCGGCTGCTTCAGGCGTCGTATGAGTCGACGCCAGCCGAGCTGGAGGCTGCTTTCGCCGGCATCCAAGTCCTCTTCCTCATCTCCTACCCCAGCCACGTGCGCGACTACCGCGTCAAGGTGCAGCTCCCAGCCATCGACGCGGCGCATAGAGCAGGCGTCAAGCATATTTTCTATTCCTCGCTGGCCTTCGCCCTACCTGAGGAGACAGAAACCCTGGCTGAGGTCATGCAGGCGCATCTGGTCTCTGAGGAACACCTGCAGAAACTTGCGAATAAAGATCCCACGTTCTCTTGGACAAGCATCCGTGAAGGGCTATACCATGAGTCTTTTCCAATTTACACCTCATTTTGGACCTTGCAGAACCCAGTGGACGAGATCTTGATACCTCACGATGGGACTGGACCTGGGGTAAGCTGGGTCAAGCGTGATGAGCTGGGTGAGGCAAGCGCCTCTCTCATCGTGCAATACGCAACCAGCTCTGACCCTTCGGCATACCCATGGAATAAACGCCGCGTTGTTCTCACGGGTCCGAAGGAGTGGACGCTTGCCGACACAGTGAAGGTACTAGGGAATGCCGTAGGGCGTGACGTGCGAATCAAGCAGATTGGCATCGACGAATGGGTCAAGCTACCCCAGATTATCGGTTATTTTGGTGAGGAGGGAAAGGCCAGGACTTGGGCAACAGCTTGGGATGCCATTAGGGCTGGTGAAACAAAGTTCGTGAGCCCCACGCTGGCAGAGATCCTTGGAATAGAGCCTGAGGCGTTCGAGGTGACGATTGGGCAGCTGGCCAAGGATGCGCGTGGTGTCTAGTCTACGGAAGTATCTAAAGCTGAATAGCATGATCATGGTGAACAATATTCGCAGAGTATTTGTTGTTACATCTCCTGTACCTGTTGAGGTGATTCCATTGCAGCTGTATAATGGAAATATTATTCTATGACCAGCCTCTTGAGCAGTACACTAAACGAATTGCTTGTCGAGCTGGAATACCTTACGTGCACCTATGCAGGCATGTCATTGGAATGTAGAAGACAGCTGGGAGCATTGTGCACATCTAGGAGCCATTGTACACAGCTAGGAGCCATTGTACACATTCTTTAGTAACAGGTGCCTGGAGAGGAGTTCCCACATACCAACACTAGTGGTGAAGGATTCAAGGAGAGAGTCGATCAGATAACTAATCTTTAGGTTGGAATAGCCCTGCGGAACATGGCCATTACGGCTGGAGTGGTGATTGTCGGAGTCACAGTCGCTTATGACATCTGCGCTGAGCATGGAAAGAATTGATAAGTACAAGTTGGCGTGCCAGGCAAATGAGCAGGTAGGGTGTAGCTAACAGGGCGAGAAATTACATTTATTCTATTAACTATGAGACTTAGTACACGCTCATATCATTAAGTCCTTTCACTGTTCCCGACTCACGCACCATCTACCATCCTAACGGCGCCCAAAATCACCTGGCGACTGCCAATGTCCAGGAGGATACTGGCCACCATGAGGAGCACCACCCTGGGGCGCTCCCCCTTGCAGTTCTACCGGAGGCGATGCCATCCGATACGCCGGCAGCTCTGCGGAAGCCACCGGCTGAGGTGGCTGCGGAGGGACCATAAACGCAGGCAGTTCCGCAGACTGCACCCGGCTCTGCTGCGGTGATGAGCACCCAGACAGCTCCGCCGAGTAAACCGACTGCTGCAGCTCCGACGGCGGAGATACCTGGCGGTACGCCGGCAGCTCGGACGACCGTATGGTCTGATGGGGCGACGCGGACGTCATGGGGGAGACTGGGGAGTGGTCGGTGGGCTTCTCGTGCATGGACGCCTCGATATGGGCAGCCCTCTCGTCCTCCTTTGCGGATCTGCGGCGGAGGAGCCTCACGACGAAGAACAGTGCGGCCACGGCGGCAATGGCGCCGACGCCGCCGACGACGGGCCCGGCGATCCATGCCTGGTCCTTCCTATCGCTGCTGCCGCCTCCGTTGTTGGAGGAGGTGCTGTTGGAGTTGGAGCTGTCAGAGTCCGTGCCGGACTTGTTCTCCACGACATCGCCGCCGGGCGTGTCCGTGGAAGTCGCTGTTGACATGACGGTTCTGGTCTGCGTGACATTGATTGTTTCCACGGGTACCAGCGAGCTACCGGCATTGGAGACTTCGCTATTGGATCCTTTTGTCGTCGTGGGTACAGTATCTTGTTTTGTTGTTTCGGGGTCGGGCGCCTTGGAGCTCTTGGGCTGCTCCGTTGTAGGCTCTGCGGACGGCTCGTCTTTGCGGGTTGACGTAGGGGGGTCCTTCTTTTCGGAAGACGAGGAGGGTGGAGGGGCGCTCGAGGTCGTCGACGACGAAGAAGAAGAAGATGGCGGCGGAGGTATCGAAGACGACGTTGTCCGCTGCGACGTGGTCGCTGCTTGTGATGTCGTTGCTGGCTTTGAGGTTGTTGTCGCCGCCTTCGATGTTGTCGTCGTGCTGGTCTTGACTGTTCTGTAGAAAGTCCTTTCTGCTGCCGTACCGCAGCCGTACATTGCCTTTGCCGACTTGTCATCGGTGCTGTCGTAGTACCAGTCTGGGCTGCACCCGGTGCCCTGGGAGCTAAATTTGCATCATATCCGTCAGAATTTAGCAGCAACTGCCGTGTATTCAGAACGGCTTACCATGTACGAACGGTTGCAGAGTAGACCAGGACGCTATTCGATCTACAGGCAGTCGGAACCTGACTCTGCCCTGCCGTTCCGCACAAAGCGTAGTTCGCATTTGTAAGGAAGATGTTGCCGCTCGGGCAGGTCACCGACAGATCTAAAAGAGGCAAGTCAGTATGCCACTTGGGGTTTTGCTATCGCATGTTGGTGTTTGGAGCCATACATGTAGATCCGCTCAAAGTGTATCCAACAAAGTCTGCGCCATTCTGCCGTTGGTAGAGTTCGGCATTGCTGGGACCTTGTGTAATAGCAAAGTCGGCTGGGCGGCCTGCCTGAGCCTTGAAGTCACGCAAAGGTTCTGTGGGAGGGGACGTGATTGTGGGATCCGCGGGCAGCACTGGCTGGGCTCGAGCGGTGATTGCCAAAGTCACGGCAGCAATTTTCAAGGTAGATCGCATAATGGAGAACGGGTCTTCGTTTTTACGATATACGAGGAATCCACGAAAACTCCCGCACTTACACAGCAGTGGCACGCAAACCAAGACAAGAGCAACTTGGCTGCTACGGGAGAAAGGGCCTACATATCTAGTTTCCCCTCCTTCTACCTACTTGCTGGGCTTGATGACTGAAAACACCGTGCCGGGGTCCAGGTCGGGAACGCCTCTTGTTATGGCGAGAGCCCAGGACTTGAGGAGCAGGGGTCCAGAGCCTCGTTTTGTATGTGAACACAGCATGATGACTGCATTGGCTCACCAATATCATATGCACCGGCGACTGGGTCAGCAAATCCGCGTTGAGCCTGCAGCACCAGTACAAGGCGCTATTGCAACTAGCGGGACTGGAGGCAGACCTGGATGTGCTCAGGCACCTTCAGCCGCATCCAAGCCATCGGATTCAGCTCGGCCTCTAGCCCTTTGTCCAGTCCCCTCATTGTCCCCATCCCACCGCCCTTTACCTTTAAGCTTCGCGGCCGCCCGCGGTAGCTAAAAGGCGACTCCAGTTTGCCATGCGGAGTGAAAATGGACCCGACCTTACGAGCTCCTCCCGATGCCAGCTCGTACATAGCGAGGTTGTGTTGTGATGATCCCTGCCTCTTTCTCTTAGCTGCATCTTCCTAGGCTCTCGCTCGCCGGTCTAGAATTACGAATTCATCAGCTATCTTACGGCAAGTGGCGGGAGGGATTACAGCATAATCCAACCCGACGTGCTTGTCCTGGTAAACGTGGTCCCTCCCTGCTTAATGATCGCCAGTGACAGGTTGGGTCCAGATCGTAGCTAGAGTAAGGATACTCTTGGCGACCTCGATCTGGGCAACTCTAGAATCTATTTGCCAGCGGCCGACGTTGAATAGGCTGTCAATCCAACAATTGACTGCTCACAAATAATCACACCATACGAAAAGAAATTCTGTGAGCCCCAGCTGAAATCGTGTGAGAAGGCGTTTCTTGTTATTGAGTATGTTGTGCAACCAGCCAGCTGACCGCTGAGCTGAACTATTGCTGCTAGCGGCGGCTTTTGCGGAATTTGTAGAGCCACCGAGAGTAACATTAAATCACAGCGAGTGGCTGGTCACTGCAGCAGTTTTGTGCATTTTTGTGAAGCTCCTTAGATGCTTACATATCTTCCAGTTCTGCTTTCTCATGGTATCTTTCTGAATGATATTAGATACTTCAGCGTCTGATATCGGACAATGGCGTTGATATGAATAAGCTAAACCATGATTTAGCGTATACTATTAGGTTGCTCCCATGGAAATCGTACCTTTCATTGCTTTCGTTCACAATTTTGTGTCTGGTTCATGTACCAGTGAGTCAGCAATGTTTTGAGGCGAGCCGGTGATAAAAGCTCTCGACTTACCCTAGACTCGAACCAAATCCCATCCAGGCACATCTCACCTACAATGAGGTTTTCATTCACGCCAATCTTCGCATTCCAATCGCTTAAACAAGCATCCAGAGTCGCAATGCCTCGAAAACCTCGAGCAGCCACAAAATCAAAAGCCTTTTCATCCGTCACGGCCACTCCAGCAGCCAAATCATCTCCATCACCACAAAACGCCATACTCTTCCCGGACGACGACGCATTCATCACATGGCTAGAAGCCAACCACAGCACCACTCCCCAGGGAACATGGCTCCTCATCGCCAAAAAGAACGCCTCCCCACCCTCCATCACCTACGACCAGGCCGTCGACACCGCAATCTGCTACGGCTGGATCGACGGCCAGCGCAAGTCCGTCCCGGACCCCGGCACCCACTTCGCCCAGCGCTTCTCCCCGCGGCGGCCCAGGAGCATCTGGTCCGCGCGCAACGTGGCCAAGGTGGATACGCTCGCCGCGCAGGGGAGGATGAGGGACGCCGGGTGGGCCGAGGTGGATGCGGCCAGGGAGGACGGGCGGTGGGACAGGGCGTACGCAGGGCCGGCGACGATGGAGGCGCCGGCGGACTTCCTGGAGGCGCTGGGGGGGAACGAGGCGGCGAGGGAGTTCTGGGGCGGGCTGGGTCGGTCGGCGAGGTATCCGTTCTTGATTAGGATTGAGACGGCGGTGAAGGCGGAGACGAGGGGGAAGAGGATAGAACAGTTTGTGGAACTGCTGGGGGAGGGGAAGACATTATAGTGTAAGATTTGATGATAGTTATGGTATTAACATTTTTGTAGCTAGTGGGGAATGTAGTGTACTAGATATCAAGATGTTTGGAGGAAACTCCCAAAGATTGATAAATTATCGTTTTCATCCCAAGGATAACGATAAACGGCCATCCAGACATTACCTACCACTCACCCTCACTATAACCTTCGCCCTCACCCTCGGACAGCTCAGCCATATCATCCAAAAGACCATCCCCAGATCCATCCTCATCTTCATCGTCATCGTTGATAAATGAACCCCCCTCCTCACTGCCCATCTCGCCGTTGTCCTCGTCAGATAAACCAGCAGGATATTGCTCGCGGAAGAGCCGTAACCTCTCTGCCAGCGATGGACGAGCCGGCGATTTGTCGTCTTCGTCGTCGTCCTCGCTTTCGGACTGTGAATCATCGCCCTCTGAATCCTTCCTGGCATCATCATTTTCAGGGCCAGACTCTGAATCCGAGGAGATCACTTGTGTCCCGCGTCCAGCACGAGAGCGCTGTGAAGCACCTCGAGGAGCTTCGTCCTCCTCATCGGAGGAAACATCCACAACTGCCTGGGTTCGAACTCTTTTAGAGCTGGGCTCCTCGTCCTCGTCCTCTGAATCGCTCACAATGCGACGCTTTGGGATTCTGACCGCGAGCTCCATGTCTTCTCTTTCTTCTTCGTCGTCTGAAGCATCTTGTTCCGGACTGGAGAACCGAGCAACAGCACCGCCATCTTCTTCCGCTGAGCTGAAGTTGCCTGGATCGGGCGAGCCACCAGGAGAGATTGGGTGAGGGATCAATTCATCTTCCGAAGATGAGTCGTTCGAGATGATCTCGTTGTCGTCAATTCCTTCACTCTCGTACTCGTCGGGCTCTTCCTCTTCTTCGTCTTCTTCGTCTGAGCTCCCCTCCTCGGTGTCCAGCGGAAGGCCAAGATCATGCCTCTTTACCAATTCTTCGAAATATTCTATTCCTTTCTCAAACTCAAAGCAAATCATTGGCGCCAGTTTCACACCACGTGACGACAGAGCATTCGTCAGCTGAGATCCAATTTCGTTTGGGAAGTCGTCTATGAGTCGGCGTGTCGTTTCATCCCAACGCTTATCGAGATCCGGCCAACAATACACCCACTCGAGATCCTCGCCAAGGCCAGGTTGCTCCTCGAAAGTCTCTATCCTGGCATGCCGCATCATCCGAGAGCCACACCATTGTATGCTCCTCTTGCTGAGTTCAGAATACGGCCTGATGAGATAAATCGTCTCCAGGTTCGGCAGAACGCGTACCAGGCGCGAGATACTCTCGAATTCCTCGGACGAGCGAGGGGCCACGTTGCCGTCCAATCCATTCAATGAGACTGCGGCATGGACAACATTGTTGCAAAATTGGGCATCGTACGGCGCTTCGTACGGCTCGTTCATACAAAGGTCCTGGAAATAGACGATGTCCCGATCTTTTTTGAAGCGAACTTCTGCGTCGCCCGACCCGGCGTTGAGACGAAGGGTATCCGGGTTCTGACGAAGGACAATCTCGCGTGATTCTTGGTTCACGGCCGAGACCGTGCGCAGAGTTTCCGTTTGGTCTGAAAGTTCCATACCGTCCGAAAACCTCCAGTGCGGGGGGCGGCCACGGGGATAGGGTATAGCTGGGTGCCATTCTATCCGGATGGATAACATCCGAGCCTGGCTTGCCAACTCAGGACAGAACGCCTCCCAGATGTGGCGTCGCAACTCAGGCGGGAGGTCGTTAAATATCGTGAACATTGAATGACTTTCGTCATTTTCATAGTCATGTCCAAGGGTGGATGAGGATTCGTCAGAATGTTCATCTGATTCCACGGCCTCCAGGTCTATCAGCTGATTGAGGGGAGAGTCATCGGACTCGTACTCGACTTCCGACGACGCACGATCACCTTCCAGGTCGCTAGAGGAGTCGATGACTAGTGAAGGGCGCGACATGCTTGGTTATCCCGGCTTTTGCGGTTTGCAAAGCAACAGTGATGAGTTGAGATGAAGGTTCGCAAAGGGTAATTTTGGCACGCGCTCAATCACACGTGACGGAACAATATGTCGCGAAGTCACGTGTTTTAAAGACATTGCTTACGTAACCTCCATCAAAGAAACTCTGAATCCGAGCAAGACCAATAAACACATGAAGGAATTTCAGTTCTGGAGCGAAAAAAAGGAGAATGTTTCTTGTTGTCTGAAACTCTTCTAAAATCGCTGTTGAGCGATTTATTCTCATGACCAGTATCTTTAATTCAATCCAATTGGTCATACCAAACACATACTGTCTTTCATCGTTCATGGCTATAGGGTAGGATCCGACGTGGCGAGGACAACACACGTGACCACCCTTCTCGTCACCAACCGGAGCAAACCCTCCCTGGATATTAGAAGTTCAATCTTCAAGGAAACCCGCTTGAATACGTAACCTCAATCTGTGGCGATATCGCTCCGCTATTTTCTTGAGAGGTGTTGAGAGAAAGTCCAAGTCCAACAATCTTCCAATATCCAAATCACAATAGCTGTTTGGATTAGACCAGATTACTTCTGTTCTTAATTCACACATATGTGGATAAAATACATACGTCAGATATTTTATTTAGTATCCGCCGTGCTGGAATTAGACGATTGGCTAGCTTCGCCGCCCTACACTGTTACTATCCGATGGCCTGGGAGTTTTCTTTTCCGCGAAGGACTAGACGATCAATGAGCTATATCTTTCAATTCTCATAAAATGGCATTGACTGATTTTTAAACTTAATTGTCCGTCTTGGATCAACCTTGGATCAGCTCTCGATTTGACTTGGGCTAGACTTGTAGGATGTGGTATCATGAACATCACGTGAAGAAAAGGCAGCAGTGGAGAAGAAATATATTCAGACACTCGATGTTAATAGTACAAAGGACTAGAAAGAAACTGCTAGAAAGGAAAGTTACATTCGGCCGGCCTCCAAACCACAGTCGGCTCGCTGGCGACCGGGAGTCCAACCACAACCCTTCTTCGATGGGAGACACTTTTCCGGGAGAGATATTCTAGTTAGCGTTTGCTATCTTGCATAAGAGTGTTATTGTCTTACCTTTGCGTGCGCCTCGCAAGCAACTCGGTGTCCCGTGTTGAGGTTGCAGAATCCTGGTCCCTTTGGCTGAACCTCACAGGTCTAGAATTAAACAGTTAGTGATGGCCGAATTGTGAAAGATGGTGGAATGGACGTACTCCACCCTCAGCGCCTCCAACATGGCCGGACTTGTTGCCGCCCTTGCCCTTGGCGGGGGCAGCCTTACTGGCACGAGCGATGAGGTACTCTCCTCGTGCGATAAGGTACTCGCCCTTGGAGACAAGATCTTCTCCCCGAGCGGCAAGGTCCTGGTACGCAAAGGCACTTGAGGCAAGCAGGACAAGGGATGAAGTAAAGATGGTAGAGACCTTCATTTTGAGAGAGTTGAGAAAAGAGTTTTGGAAATTGGTTGGTTGATAGAGTATTGGATATTTGCGTGTTGGAGTGGATGATGCGATCAGTCAGTCCGATGGTGAACCTCAGAGATCTTATATAGCTTGAATGTGAGGCGTTCAGCTCCTGATTCCCTGTTCCTATTTTCTTGTGCGTATATCTTCTAGAATCTCATGCGAGTTGCTATTTTTCCATATCCGCCAGTCTGTTTGTGGGTGTTGCCGAACGCGCACTCTGGATGCCCATTTATTTAATTTATATCCTGGGCACCCCCTTCATTTGATCCTTCCTCGCCACATGTCATGAACTTCATCCTCTCTCACGCGTCTACAAGGGTGATGCTTCTCTAGGAAGAACTGCTTTAGAAATTCTGCTGGACAATTGGTAGGTAGTGCGATAAGACATGACAGTAAAGGAGATCCGCGTTTCTTATCACCACATGGAAATGGTCGATTGAAATGGTCTGAGCCGTTAGTTGTCCCTTGATCTGTACGACCAACGACTGAGTTATTCGCCATCAGAATTTGGAAGGAGCTTGGAACCACGCGTCTCTCGCTTAATCGGATGTAGAAAATTTGATGATATTCAGATTCATTAATTCAGGATTTGTCCGGAGCGAGCATAGACGAGGTAAAAGTTCCAATCAGGCTGTCCAGTGCCGAGCGCACAGATGGGCCTCCCGCCCCCTTGGTACCAGCGGAGGTATCCATATTGGGCATCAGCCGATCTACGGCTGAACATACAGTACGATATCGGAGGGCTGTTTTTCTTTTTCTTCTATTTATACGTATCTTCATGGCGAACGCTATACTAAAAGACGATAAGTGGGAGGATGGATTGATCCCTGGCTTGCTTAGAATGAATGCCTGGACTTTGGAGCTGGAACAGAGTGAGGGATCTCGGGCCCCGGACTTTGGACGGACTCCAGAAACGAGGAATTCGGCATGGCCGACATGGGTATTATGTGGAACGGGCGCTAGAAAGAAATTGTAGGCGCCGACACCACCGAGAAATACGCGCGACATACTATATGGGATGATAGGTTGGACCTCTGAGTGGTCTGATTGTTTCTGATTAATGAATTTCCTATCCTCGGAGCGGATGGTGGCGATCCTATGAATAGTAGCGAGAGTTGACGAGAGTATGTGTACGGAAGTCGGCTGAGATGTGTGGGATGAGTATCTTGGTAAGAATTTCGGTTTCCTGTGGGAGGCGGTTTTAAATTGATCTCATTTATTCATCCAGCCAGATAAACGAGCCCAGGTGATGTGAAAATTCGCTGCGAGTTGTATGCTCTCTGACAAGACCCGGGCCCATTCGTCTCTCACGCCATCGCAATTAAATCTAGCATCGCGAGTGTAGTGGGACGGTCGATATCCAAGGTCAGAAACAAAACTCATCCATGTTCTTTTCTGGCTGTTTATGAACAGAGGTATAGCCAATACTACCTAAGTAATGGGGTGCACGTTATACTTATCTGCAAAGCATAACATAATAACATAACACTGAGGAAGTATCTGACCTGAAAGAACGTTCAGCACAGAGAAGAGATTAAGAAAAATAAAAGCAGCTAAGCCATTCTCTCTTCTCAAGATTATTTCGTCGGTTTCGAGATATGTTACAAGGCCCCTAGAGATGGGGGAAGCTTGGATTCGCAACTACAGCAAGTAATGCATGAGCTAAGAAAGCGTGAAAACATTCCGAGCACATTATGCCTCGATGAAGATGTTTTGACTTTTTTTCCTGGTTAAATCTATGAGATATGGGTGCCAAAGAGCAATGTGAGTGCGGCCGCAGGTAGGTAAGTGGCAATATACCCGCGGTCACGATGCGCATTCGATAGTTGTTCAGGAAAATAGAACTTTCAGAAAGTCAAGATACTGAAAATGAATAACCGGCGAGTAACGACGGGAGGGCAAGAAGATGTCTGACTAGGGGCGGCACTGAGAGAGTGGTGGTGGTAGTCTAGTCTATACTATTGCCTGTGTTAGGGTTACCATACCTGCTGAAGACGAACCCCAAGCTAGAAAGTGATCTAATACTCAGTCTGATTGAAGTTTTTTGACGATATATGAAGAAACTACACCAGTTATGTTTTATAAACCTAGCTTGGCTACATAATATGCCACTTCTACGAAAGGTGCAAGGCCATTAGGCCGGCTCCGCAGCCGATTCCAAGCCGGCTAAACAGCCACGCAAGGTTCTGCTATGGCTTCTGGCCTATTATCACATCAAACTCCGATTGAACTCTCCGTGACAAATTGGATGAAAACCAAACCTGTTATGATATGATGTTCTTTTTGAATAAAGTGATGGGTTATGAGGGGAGCCATATCTTGGTTGCTGTGCTGCATTCTCTGAGGGACATTAGTCCTCAAAGGGCCATAATAAAATGCTTCGTACCGTCTATCGCCGCTCCGATGAAGAAATTTATAATGATGATACACAGCTTCATGCCTTCGAGACATTGCATTTCAGGGTCTTGCTCTGCGGTTGGTCTTGATCTTGACATGTAGATCACGAGAGTCGCTGCACTATGGAGAGCTACTAAGATGATTTGCTGCCACATTCTGCTGCGGCAGTGAGTCCGTGACTGGCAGTTCAGTGTGGAAGAGCTGCGCCGTCTGTCGAAAGTAAACAAATAAGAAGGGCATATTTCCTGGGATTGATCTGAAGCGAAAAGAGGCCCGTTTTCGCCTCATATCTCAGCGTCTACTGAAGCAGGCTCTAAGCACGCACAGAATATTAGCGGCTGTGAGCCTTATGTTAAGGGGGATAGAGGCAGCAGGCTAAGACGGCTGGCGTCGGCTTATAACGCATTCACCTCCGTAGCGCGTCTGGATTTATCAACTAGAACAAGTCGAGAAAAGAGGAGCCTGCGGGATCATTTCTCACAATATGCATTTCCCCTGTTTAGGGCATCTGGCACAGATCGGTTGACACCCTCCGGTCCCCTCTCCGACGTGTTGCTGGGCGTCAAGACGAAACCTGGACCATACAGTATTCCAATCAATTATTCCCCTACCTATCCAAATTATATCGAAGTAATTAGATATGGTGAGCGAGACAACAAGAGATACTGTCGCTGGTGCGGCGGGTGGTGTTGCCCAGGTTCTCATCGGTAGGCATCCCGTCACCGGGCCGCATAGCTGTTGCTCTGAAGTTAACCATAGTATCATAGGCCAACCTTTCGGTTTGTTCAACCAGGATCGAGTTTATTTCATGCATTTTCACCTGACAAACTGCCTATTTTCTGATAGACATCGTTAAGGTCCGACTCCAAACAAGTGGAGGAAGTGGCCTCGCCGTCGCGCGAAATATTTGGCTCAAAGAGGGGCCTTTGGCTTTCTACAAAGTGAGGAGAACCGTTAGAAACCTGGCTTGGATAAGCACACGGTACTGACATGATCTAGGGATCTCTTCCACCGTTGATCGGTATCAGCATCTGCGTGAGTTTGCAATTCTTGTGACCCAAAGCATCCGATGGATGGAGATTGACAACCGGGTAGGGGAGCATTCAATTTGGAGCTTTCCAGTACTTTCGGCAGCTATTTCAGAACCGCCAAAGCAGAACTGGAAACTCCAAAGATTCGTTGCCGGTATGGCAGTTATTCGTGGCGGGCGGAGGAGCTGGCTTGGCCAACAGTATCATATCCGGCCCTGTTGAGCACATCAGAATCCGTCTCCAGACTCAGCCATCTGGCAGCGGAAAGCTGTACAATGGACCCTTAGATTGCGCCCGCAAGATCTACCAACAAGCTGGTATTACAGGCATTTTCCGTGGTCAAGTTGCTACGATGGTTCGCGAGTTCTACGGATTTGGAGCCTGGTTCGCGTCCTACGAAGTATTTGTGAGCCTTCTGACTAAAATGGATAACAAATCTCGCTCAGAACTGCCGAGCTGGAAGATCGCAATTTGCGGTGGGCTTGCAGGGGAGGTGAACTGGCTTTTGGCGAATCCATTTGATGTCATCAAGAGTAGGCTGCAGAGTGATGGCTTTGGAGAGGTAAGAAAGTATACGAATACACGAGATGCAGTGTTGAAGACATGGAAGGTCCAGGGATTTGGAGGATTTATGGAAGGACTCGGTCCATCTTTACTTCGTGCACTGCCAGTGTCTGCTGGCATTTTTGCTACGTGAGTTTATCTTTCTTGTTACTTTGTTCGTGAAGCTGACTTTGAATTCAGGGTTGAAATCGTTCGAACATTCATTGGATAGAATACATAAGCGGGCTCAAAGCGTTTAGATATAGAATGAATTATACATAGATGATCTTACAACGTTAAAAGAACGAGGCTTCTTGCTGTCCCTACTCACTTTTGATTTGGTTTTGTGAGACCCAATTTGCATGATTTTGATGCTGCATCCCAGCTGCATTCTTGAGCATAATGGCTTCCAATGAATTGCCACTTCCGTACTCGCTCCCCTATCTCTTACTCTTGAGACCAAAACTAGTTTTGGTTAGTATCAAGGGCGTAGACGAAGAGCGAATAACGTCGGGTGAATTCCCGGGACTGCGTATCAAGATAGTCATCAGGTGGGCACCGTGATGGCGACTGACTAGCAAGTGTTTCTCCTAATCTGTCGTCGGGACTGGGCCCGCACACTACATAGCTTCCCCACAAGCAGGGGACGGTGTGCGTTCGTGTGAGGAAACGCTACATGGACCCTTGAGCGGCAGCACTAGAACAAGTGAATGTTCTAGCCACCCTGGTCTGGGGTGATCATGGGACCAAAGCACCGAGTTGCTTGCGCCAGCCGCTTGTCATCTCGATGTGACAACCCAAACGAACGAATTCGGGAGTGGGGCCGAGTCAGCTTCAACTATCACCAACTTGCTACTCAGACGAGGAAGATCATACGTTTGTTGACTTTGATCATGCCTTGAATTCCGAGGTCGGATAATAGCCTGCAGTTTTGGATTCATCGAGCTCTTGGTGGCTTCACTTATATACGGCCTTGTCTAGAATCCAATGGGC